AATATCTTCCAAGAATACTACACCCACCGCGTGCCTCCACTGTAATATTAGGTGTAATATCTTCCTAAGATATTGTGAATAATATCATAGGGTGTGCACTCGCTGTGAAATTAAAAGTAATATCTCTCTGGAGTATTATGAAAAATATCACAGGGAGTACCCCCACTGTGATATTAGGTGTAATATCTTGCTAAGATACTATGAATAATATCATAGGGTGTGTACTTGCTGTGAAATTAAAAGTAATATCTCTCTGGAATATTATGAAAAATATCACAGGGAGTACCCCCACTGTGATATTAGGTGTAATATCTTGCTAAGATATTATGAATAATATCATAGGGTGTGTACTCGCTGTGAAATTAAAAGTAATATCTCTCTGGAATATTATGAAAAATATCACAGGGAGTACACCCACTGGAATATTAGGAGTACTATCTCCCTTGGATATAATCAATAATATCACAAATGTTATACTCACGGTGATATTAGGAGTAATACTATTTAAAATCTTAAGAATATCACAGGCTGTACCCCATGGTGATATTAGCAGTAATATCTCCCTAGGATATCATAAATAACATCACAGTGTGTACACCCGTGGTGATATTATGAGTAATAGCTTTCTAGGACATTATGAATAATATCACAGGTTGCACACACATGGTGATATTAAGAATGATAGCTTTCCAGCATATTATGAATAACATCACAGTGTGTACACCCACTGTGATATTAGGAGTAATAACTTCCTAGGACGTTACGAGTAACTTCTCACGGTGTACACCCATGGGGATATTAGGAGAAATAGCTCCCTGGGATACTATGAATAACATTAGCGGGTGTACACCCACTGTGAATAATAGGAGTATTACCTACCGAGAATATTACGAATAATATCAGAGGATGTACACCCACTAAGATATTATGAGTAATATCTCCCTAGGAAAGTACATATAATATCACAGTGTGTACACCCACTATCATATTAGTAGTTATATCTCCATAGAATATTACAAATAATATCGAAGGGTGTACACCCACTGTCATATGAAAAATAATTTTTTCTAGGATATTACTAATAATATCACGGGGTCTACTTTCACTGTGATATTAGCAGTAATATCTCCCTAGTATGCTACAAATAATATAACAAGGTGTCCACACACTGCAATATTAGAAGTAATACTTCCCTAAGATATTACGAATAAAATCACAGGGTGTACACCCACTTTGAAATTAAAATTATATCTCTCTAAGATATTTTTAATAATATCACAGAGTGTACACCATATGTGGAGTAATATCTCCCCACGATATTACGAATAATATCACAGGGCTTATACCCACGGTGATACTATGAGTAATACCTCTTTAAGATATCATGAATAACATCATAGAGTGTACACCCACTTTGATACTGGGAGTAATTGTCTCCTTAAGATATTACAAATAAAATCACAGTGTGTACACCCACGGTGATATTAGGAGTAGTATCTTTTTATGATATTGCAAATAACATCACAGCATGTACACCCACTCTGATATTAGGAGAAATAGCTTCCTAGGATATTAAGAATATCATCACAAGGTGTACACCCACTGTGACATTTGGAGTAATAACTCCTGAGGATATTAGGTATAACATCACACGGTGTACATGCATGGTAATATTAGGAGTAATCGCTCCCTAGGATATTAGAAATAACATCACAGGGTGTACACCCACTGTGATATTAACAGTAATAACTCCCTAAGATATTATGAATAACATCACAGGGTGTACATTCACTGTGATATTAGGAGTAATCGCTCCGTAGGATATTAGAAATAACATCACAGGGTGCACACCCATGGTGAAATTAGGAGTAATAGCTCCCTAGGGTATTACGAATAACATCACATGTTGTACATTGACTCTGATATTAGGAGTAATAGCTCTCTAGAATATTATGAATAACATCAAAGGGTATAAACTCACTGTGATATTAGGAGTAATCACTCTCCAGGATACTAAAAATAACATCACAGGAAGTACTCCTAATGTGATATTAGGAGTAATAGCCTCCTAGAATATTACAAATAACATTGCAGGGTGTACAACCACTGTGATATTAGGAGCAATAGGTAGCTAGGGTATTATAAATAACATCAAAGGGTTTACATCCACTGTGATATTAAGAGTAATAACTCCCAGGACATTATGAATAACAGCAGGGTGTATACTCACTGTGATATTAGGAGTAACAGTTTCTGAGGATTTTACAAATAATGCCACAGGATGTATTCCCACTGTGACATTAGGAGTAATAACTCCCTAGGATATTACAAATAATATCACAGAGTGTACACCCACTGTGATATTGGGGTAATAGCTCCCTAGGATATTACAAATAATATCACAGGGTGTACACTCACTGGGATATTAGGAGTAATAGCTTCCTAGGATATTATGAATAATATCACAATGGGTTTACACACATGGTGTACATGTGTACACACACATGTACATCCACTGTGATATTAGTAGTAATATCCTTCTAGTATATTAAATATAATATCTCAGGGTTTACACACATGGTGTACACCCACTGTGATATTAGGAGTCACATCATCCTAGGATATTACAAATGTTATCACAGAGTGTACACTCATTGTGAAATTAGGAGTAATATTTCTCTAGGATATTATGAATAATATCACAGGGTGTATACCCTCTGTGATATTAGGAGTAATATCTCCCTCGAATATTATGAATAACATCGCACAGTATACAACCACTCTGATATTAAGAGTAATATCTCCCTCGGTTATTACGAATAATATCACAGGTTGTACACCCAGTGTGATGTTAGAAGTAATATCTCCCTCAGATATTATGAATAATGTCACAGGGTGTACATTCACTGGGATATTGGGAGTAATATTTCCCAAGGATATTATGAATGATATGACAGCGTGTACACCCACTGTGATATTAGAATTAACATTTCCCTAGAAATTCACAAATGATATCACAGGCTGTACACCCGCTGTGATATTAGGAGTAATATCTCCCTAGGAAATTATGAATAATATCACAAGGTGTACACACATTGTATACACCCACTGTGATTTTAGGAGTAATATCTCACCAGGATATTACAAATAATATCACAGAGTTTACACCCACTGTGATATTTTTTCCCTAAAATATTACAAATCATATCACAGGTATACACTCACTGTGATATTATGAGTAATATCTCCCTAGGATATTTCAAATCATATCACAGGCTGCACACCCACTGTGATGTTAAAAGTAGTATCTTTCTAGGACATTACAAATAGTATCACAAGGTGTACACCCACTGTGAGATTAGGAGTGATATCTCCCTAGAATATTATGAATAATATCACAGTGTGTACAGCCACCGTGATATTAGGAGTGATACTGTCCTAGGATATTACAAATAATATCATAGGGTGTACACCCACTGTGAAATTAAAAGTAATAACTCCCTATGATATTATGAATAATATCACAAGGTGTATACTTACTGTGATATTAGTAGTCATATCTCCCTAGGATATTACGAATATTATCACAGAGTGTATTCCCACTGTGATATTAAAAGTATTATTTTTCTAGGATATTACGAATAATATTGCGCAGTGTACTCCCTCCGTGATATTAGGAGTTATATCTCCCTAGGATATTACAAATAATATCACAGGGTGTACATCGTGATATTAGGAGTAATATCTCCATATGATATTATGAATAATATCACAGGGTGTACACCCACTGTGATATTAAAAGTACTATCTTTCTAGGATATTATGAGTAATATCACAGGGTATACTATCACTGTGATATTAGGAGTAATATATCCCTAGGATGTCACAAATAATATGACAGGGTGTACACCCACTGTGAGATTTGGAGTAATATATCTGTAGCATAATATGAATAATATCACAGGGTGTACACCCACTGTGAAATCAGGAGTAAAATCCCCCTCGGATATTACAAATAATATCACAGTGTGTACTCCCACTGTGATATCAGGAGTAAAATCTCCTTCGGATATTACGAATAATATCACAGGATGTACACCCACTGTGATATTAGGAGTAATATCTCCCTCGGATATTTCGAGTAATATCACAGGGTTTACACACATGGTGTTCACCCACTGAGATATTAGGATAGTATCTCCCTTGGATATTACGAATCATATCAGAGGCTGTACACAGGTGGTGTTCACCAAGCGTGATACTAGGAGTAATGTCTCCCTCAGATATTAGGAACAGTCTCCCCCTGGGACTTAGCAGAGCGTAACCCCCCAGTGTTAAATAAGCGGCCACAGCAAGAGGCAGAGGAGCAGGGACTGAAATGAAGACAAAGATCTGACAAGTTTAAAAAATGTATATAAAATAGAATTTATAAAATGCTTCATCTGCCGACTCAGGAGCCCCCGGTGCAGGGTGGGGTGGGAGTTGGCAGCTGCCCGCTACACCAGCAGAGTGAGACTGCAGGAGTGCGGCCCTCCCTCCCACGCCCCTCTGTTCAGACACCCAAGGGGCCCACGTGCACTCCTGGGATCACACCACCCGAAAACAGGACCCCAGAGGTTTCTTGAGTCTCTGCTTACAAGGGCGACTGGGTACAGCCCTGCCAGCCCATTGCATAATCTTCTAAGTTCTCCCCACTACCCTCCATTCCAGCAGTGAGGTGACTGCGACGTGGTCTCCATCCTCTCGGCCTTGACCCAGTGGTCCCCGCGATTGGACGTTTGGCGGTCACCAGGCCTCCTTGTTACTAACGTGTGCACACCTTTCAGTTCTCCCATTGGGATGAACTCCTGGAAATTGCTGGGTCCAAAGTGTTTGGGAAGTTTGGAGTGATTCTTGTTGCAAGGGGAAGAGGGAACTATGGAGATGTCACTGAACTTTCAGGGGTTCCGGGACCCCCCAACCCGGTGCCTGTCCCAGCTCCCCAAGCGCCTCTCTCCGCTCCTCCCTCCTCCCCCACCTCGCCTGTTTTCACCTCCCGTGACCTCACCCCAGCCGCGCAGCTGGACCTTGCCCGGCGCCTCCCGATCCCGGAGCTCGAATCCCAGCGGGACCAGCCCAGCCCCGCCCCTTCCCTGGCAGGAGCGAGGCGGAGCAGTCTGCCCAGAGACTTAGCGACAGACAGACGCTGGGACCCACGACGACTGAAGACGCCGATGGCCGCGCCTGCTGAGCCCTGCGCGGGGGAGGGGGTGAGTGCCCCCCCCCGTCGCGCCCCCCTCTCCTTTTCCAGGCTTGGTTTGGCTGCAGATCTCTTGGGCTGCGACACTGGGGATTCCTGGACCTGGGAAGCAAGGAGATTTACTCCAGCCCCCTCACTGCAGCGGGTTGGACTCCTTTCACCAACCCAGCACCCCCGACAGCCCAGCTCTGTCTAAGGGGCCACCAGACCTCCCAGCTACTAGGGGCTTTGACCCTTATTTGCATAAAGCTAGTGGGTGCTCCGAGCCCTCCTACCCCCAGAGAGCCTTACCTCTCTGGTTTCTTTTTCCATCGCTCTTAGCAAAGGACTCCAGAGAGTGGAGTTCATGGGGTGAGGGTGGGGGTTGCAAACTGCCAGCATTTCGAGGGCCAGGGAGATGAAGCGATAAGTTGGTATGAACTGAGGGCTTCCTCTGTGCCTAGCCTTGTGCCCAACCTTGTGCCATGCTGCTATGAACTTTGTTGCTATTAATCCATTTAATACAACTCCTAGAGGTAGAGTCTCATTATTCACCTTTTGCAGGGAAGGAAACTGAGACAGAGAGAGGTTAAAGTTTGCACAGCCAGTGAGTTGTGAAACCAGGGGGAGTAAAAAGACAGGGGACAGAGAATTGAAGAGGCCACGTCCACTAAACTTCAAATTTGTTCTAGGGTTAGATAGGACCAGCAGACCTGCTGAGATGAAAATAACACATCAAGCTGGGCCAGTGGCTCTTGCCTGTAATCCCAGTACCTAGGAGGCTGAGGCAGGAGGAGCTTGAGGCCAGGAGTTCGAGACCAGCACAGGCAACATAGATGTAGAGACCCCCCATCTCTACAAAACATAAAAAAAAGTTAGCCAGGCCTGGTGAGGCGGCTTATGCCTGTAATCCCAGCACTCTGGGAGGCCGAGGTTGGAGGATTGCTTAAGGCAGGAGTTCAAAGCTTTGGTGAGCTTTGGTTGTGCCACTTCAGCCTGGGCAACAGAGTGAGACCCTGTCTCTAAAACATAAATTAATTAATAAAAAATAAAAATAAATCACACATCAAGACCACCAGTCGAACAAGGTTTGGGGTCAGATAAGCCTGGGTCAGAGTCAGCTCTGCCACTTCCCATTTGTGTGGCCCTGCGGGAGGCAGTTCCCCGATTGGTGCCTTGGACTGCTGGTCTCTGAAATGGGGACAGTACTGCCTATGTGCTGGAGTTGTCATAAGGATTAACTGACGGTCTGTGCCTAGCAATGATTATGGAGCCCAGGTCTCCTAGATCACATGGCCCAGTTCCCTGGGTTCAAATCCCAGTCCTTCCACTTCTCAGCTGGGTAAAGTCAGCCAAGTTACTCAACCTTTCTGGTCCTCGGCTTCTTCACCTGTAAATCAATATGATAATTGCATCTACCTAGGGTTGATGTCAGGATGAAAGGAGTTGAGAATTATTAGGTATTCCAAAGAGTGCTTGGCACATTTTTGTGTAAATGTTAAAGATCCAAAAAATTGCCTGGGCCTCTGGGCAGGTGAGTTGGGGACCCCTGCCTTATACCATCCTAAGGGGCCTCCTGGTGTTCCCTCAGGTCTGGAACCAGACAGAGCCTGAACCTGCCGCCACCAGCCTGCTGAGCCTGTGTTTCCTGAGAACAGCAGGGGTCTGGGTGCCCCCCATGTACCTCTGGGTCCTTGGTCCCATCTACCTCCTCTTCATCCACCACCATGGCCGGGGTTACCTCCGGATGTCCCCACTCTTCAAAGCCAAGATGGTAGCTGCCATCCCTGGGAGCCTGGAACCAGGCAATGGTGGGGGGAGGCAGGGGACAGGCTGGAACCTGGTGAAGTCTTAAAGCAGACTCCTCCTATCAGGGTGTAGAAGGGAATCTGTTAATCAAACAGAGCAATATTAGAGAGGCTACAGAGGTCAACTCGATGGAACATGGTTCTCCCAAACAGATTTTGTAATTCCGAAAATACATGCATGCACAAACACACACATACCCTCCCATGTTCCCAGACAGTTTATAACTACCATAACCTGGCATTTTCCAAAACATACCATGTAGACTCTTGGGTACACAAGGTAATTTTAGGGCCACATTGGGATGAACCTTTTAAAAAGTTATGCGTTTATTTTTATGTTCCCCCACTGACTGTATGATAGGACAATTTTTATATGTGATATGTATTCAGTGTGTTAAATAAACACTGGCATTCCAAGTGTGGGCCTTTCTGCTCATCCATCCTCTTCTACTCCGTTCTTGTAGGCTTCTAAAGAATGTTCTTCAGAGTTCATTCATTCTTCTGCCATTGTGTCAATTTTTGCATAATCACCCACCAACAACCCAAGGGTTGGCAAACTTAAAGAGCCAAGCAGTACGTAGTATTTGAGACTTTGTGAGCCCGATAATCTTCCTTCCAAACACTGAACTCTGCCATTCCAGAATGAACGCAATAGTCATAACCATAGACAATAGTCATGACTGTGCTACTTTTTTTTTTTTTTTTTGAAATGCAGTTTTGCTCTTGTCACCCAGGCTAGAGTGCAATGGTGTGATGTCAGCTCACTGCAACCTCCGCCTCCTGGGTTCAAGTGATTCTCCTGCCTCAGCCTCCCAAGTAGCTGGGATTACAGGTGCCCACCACCACACCTTGCTTTTTTTTGTATTTTTAGTAGAAACAGGGTTTCGCCATGTTGGCCAGGCTGGTCTCCAACTCCTGACCTCAGGTGATCTGCCTGCCTTGGCCTCCCAAAGTGCTGGGATTACAGGTACGAGCCACCACTCCCGGCCGACTGTGTTTCAATAAAACTTTATTTGTAGTCACTGAAATTTGGATTCCGTGTAATTTTCACCTGTCACGACATATGCTTTTTCTTTTTCTTTGATGATTGATAGTTTGCTAACTTCTGCTTTAAACTAGGTTTCTTTGAGCAGTTCCTCTAATATGCCTTAGCCCTGGCCTTCCCTCTGGTGTGTACATGTTCTCTCATTTTCTTCCTTTCTTTTCTTCAATAGACAAACCAAAATATATTAGAGAGACCCTAGAGACTTACTGACTCCTTGATTTCATAGCAGGGATTGAAAATGACTTGGAGAGAGGATAGTTTTTTACCTGGTGAGTACATTTCATTTCCTGCTGTTTCTTCACACCCAAAGTCATCTCACAGGTGCACGATTGGAGCACTTCCTGCATTTTGGAAAACACTCGGCTGGCTCAAGCCCTTGCTGTACATTATTTATATGACAATTACAGGTCAGGACTGATCTACAATGCCCTTTACACATTGTTCACGTTGGCACATTGCTAGCTGGTGATACTGGTTTGTTACAGGACCCCAGCCAGGATGTTGCAGAACCAGCTCCCGGTTGGACATGGGGTCGCCCACCAGTTTGCTGTGACCTCTCTTATTGCCCCCCAAGCTTATCTAAGCCTGTACCCTCAGGTGCTTGGGTTCGCCCTCATAGTCCTGTGTACCTCCAGCGTGGCTGTCGCTCTTTGGAAAATCCAACGAGGAACGTCTGAGGCCCCGGAATTCCTCATTCACCCTACCGTGTGGCTCACCACGATGGTAATGATGCCTTCAGTCTAGAGCCTGTTTTGCTCCCAGCTGCTGCTTTGCCTGCCGCAGTGAAGAACAAGGGGAAGAGAAGAGGCTCGGCTCAGCCTCCACCCTCCCCTAAGGGGCCTGCCCTGACTTTCCGGTTCAGAGCTTCGCCGTGTTCCTGATTCACACCGAGAGGAAAAAGGGAGTCCAGTCATCTGGAGTGCTGTTTGGGTACTGGCTTCTCTGCTTTGTCTTGCCAGCTACCAGCGCTGCCCAGCAGGCCTCCGGAGCGGTAAGTGGGGGTGTGGGCCACCCCGGGAAACCAAAACTGTGCCTCTGGCCTTGGGTCCCATCTGTCCTCCTCCTGTTTCCACATATGACTTATTCTCTACACAGCGACACACATACGCCCGTCACTTACACTCTAGAGACGCAAAATCCACTCCCACACCTGTAAGTACCCATCATCCCATACATTTCTTATCAACACAATTTCCTGTCTTACACACCCACATCACACGTGCCACTTGCACACGACGCACACACTTATATGCACTGATTCATACCTCACACAAGCACATGCATGCATGCACACACACAACCTGGGCACAGGGCACAGACACACCTGTGTGCACACAGACTCCTATGTGCACATCTCCCCTCATCTCATGGATTCACCCTCCCCACGTTCCTATGCATCTTTATTTACACACTCATTCTGCACACCCACTCATATTTCTGTTGCTCAATCTGGGAAGCAGCCTTTTTTTTTTTTTTTTTTTTTTTTTTTTTTTTTTTTTGAGAGGCTCTCTCTGTCGCCCAGGCTGGAGTGAAGTGGCATAATCTCGGCTCACTGCAATTTCTGCCTCTCGGGTTCAAGCGATTCTCCTGCCTCAGCTTCCTGTGCAGCTGGGATTACAGGTGCTCACCACTACACCTGGCTAATTTTTGTATTTTTAGTAGAGACGAGGTTTCACTATGTTGGCCAGGCTGGTCTCGAACTCCTGACCTCAGGTGATCCTGACCTCAAGTGATCCACCCGCCTTGGCCTCCCAAAGTGTTGGGATTATAGGCATGAGCCACTGCGTCCAGCCAGAAGCAGCATTTCTGTATTAGGAGACATGATGGGTCATTTTCTCTGCAAAGAGAAAAACTTGTAGTCTAGACCAACTTCTCTCAACCTCAGCTTTAGCAACATTGTGGCCAGATAAGTCTTTGCTGGGAGGAGGGGGTTGTTCTGTTTGCTGTAGAGTGTGAAACAGCATCCCTGGCTTCTGCCCATAGATACCACTAGCATATCATCCAATTGCAGTAACCCAAAATGTCTCGCGATATTACCAAGTGCTCCTGGGGTGAGGACAAAGTCACACACCTACTGAGGAGCAGTGACCTCGACAGGGTGCTTAGCCAAGGCTTCTGGGACAGGGGGTTATCTTAACACCAATGATCAGGCGGCAGCAGGTTTCAGATATTTTACTTTATTACTGTATTTTTGTGGAGACAATATCGTGCTCTGTTGCCCAGGCTGATCTTGAACTCCTGGGCTCAAGCAATTCTCTGACCTCAGCCTCCTAAAGTGCTGGGATTATAGGCATGAGCCACCACATCTGGACTCACAGATCATTTCTTGAGTCCAGTGGTTACTCCATCCTGCCCCTAAAGGAGAAAGTAGAGAAGCATCATCCTGTCTTTAAGGACAGGGTTTTTATTTTTCGTTTGTTTATTCTGAGACAGAGTCTTGCTCTGTCGCCCAGGCTGGAGTGCAGTGGCACGATCTTGACTCATTGCAACCTCTGCCTCCTGGGTTCAATCGATTCTCATGCCTCAGCCTCCCGAGTAGCTGGGATTACAGGCATGTGCCACCACGCCCAGCTAATTTTTGCAGTTTTAGTAGAGACAGGGTTTCACCATGTTGGCCAGGCTCATCTCAAATGCCTGACCTCAAGTGACTCACCCACCTCGGCCTCCCAAAATACTGAGATTACAGGCACGAGCCACAGCGCCTGACCGAGGATAGAGTTTTTAAAAGAGCAATCTTTGTAACTAAGGGGAAATTCCACAGGGTATTCAGTAATTTCTGAAAGGGTGGGCTCCCACAGTTGACACAAGTCACCTTTTTGGGACACAGCATAGAAACAATAATACTGGGACCATTTACACTCAGGGGTTCCAACCATGTGCAGGCACTGTGGCAGGCACTTACACACCTATCCTCATTGGATTCTCACAATAGTTCACAGTGATGGATTCTTTTTTCTTTTTTCTTTTCTTTTTTTTTTTTTTTTAATAGAAACAAAGTCTCATTATGTTCCCAAGGCTGGTCTCAAACTGCTAGGCTCAAGTGATCTTTCCACCTAAGCCTCCCAAAGTGCTGGGACTATAGGTTTGAGCCAATGTGCCCAGCCAGTGATGGATTCTAGCCGTCCCATTTTAAAGATGAGGGAGACTAAGGCTAGGAGAAGGGAATGACAGCCTCAGGGCCACAAAGCTTGGGAGTGCAGAGCCCAAGTTCATCTCAGGCAAATTCAGAACAAACTTTCTGAGAGAAACAGTGGGGAAAACAGTGGCAGTTTAGGGAAGATGGGCCATATTGTCATTGGAATATCCAATTGTCTACTATCTGGGGAAAAAAAAAAAAAAACCAAAAAACTAGAAAAGTATAAAATCCAGTAGAGGAATTGTGATTTGAAACTAGGGCTCTGGTTTAAAGTCATAAAAACTCAGTTCACACTAGCTTAAGGAAAAGGGAAGGTCAGGGGGGTGAATAGCTCCTGTATTTATTAGCTCATACCCATGGGATCTCCCAGGCATGAGTGATCCAGGCCTGGGACCAGATACCAGATCTCCACTTCTGCCTCTTGGCTTTGCCATGTTAGGTTGATTCTCCAATGGAGTGGCAAGAAGAGCCACCAATACCTTCAGACTTATGTTCTACCACGTAGCAAACCCGGCAGAATCTCCCAGTGGTTCCAGCTCTCAAGTGCCCAGCATGGGATGCTATATGCATTCCTAACCCAGCCGTGGTAGCCAAAAGACTAGAATGTATTCATTGGCCAAGCCTCAGTCACCCACTCAGCCTTGGAGTAGAGTCAGTTCTGCACAAATCACATGTCTGAACACAAGCAAAAAGACTTAGGAAGAAAGAAAAATCAGTCTATGGAAGATATCTCTGCATGATTATTACAGCACTATTCACAATAACCAAGATTTGGAAGCACCCTAAGTGTCCATCAACAGGTGAATTGATAAAGAAAATGTGGTGTATATACACAATGGAGTACTAAGCAGCTATAAGAAAGAAAGAGGTATTGTCATTTTCAACAACATGGATGTTAAGTGAAATAAGCCAGGCACAGAAAGACCAACTTTACATGTTCTCACTTATTCATCAAAGCTAAAACTTAAAACAATTTAACTCATGAATATACAGAGTAGATGGAAGGTTACTAGGGGCTAGGAAGGATAGTGCATGGGGGACATAGGGATGGTTAATGGGTACAAAAAATAGAAAGAACAATACCTATTTGATGGCACAACAGGGTGACTATAGTCAATAATAATTTAATTATTATTTAGTTCATTTAAAAATAACTAAAAGAGTCTGGACACAGTGGCTCACACCTGTGGAGCACTTTTTTTTTCCAGCACTTTGGAAAGCCGAGGCAGGAGGATCATCTGAGGTCAGGAGTTCAAGACCAGCCTGGGTAACATGGTGAAACCCCGTCTCTACTAAAAATACAAAAAAAATCAGCCAGGCGTGGTGGTGCACACCTGTAAGCTCAGATACTCAGAAGGCTGAGGCAGGAGAATCGCTTGAACCCAGGAGACAGAGGTTGCAGTGAGCCAAAATTAAGCCACTGCACTCCAGCCTGTGCAACAGAGTGAGACGCCAACTCAATAATAGACTAAAAAATAAAATAACTAAAAGAGTAAAATGAATTGTTTATAACAGAAAGGATAAATGCTTGAGGGGATGGAGACCTCATTTACCCTGATGTGATTATTATGCATTGCTTGCCTGTATCAGAATATCTCACGTCACCCAGAAATATATATATCAGGCCAGGTGCGGTGGCTCACACTTGTAATCCCAGCACTTTGGGAGGCCAAGGCGGGTGGATCACCTGAGGCCTACATGGTAAAACTCCATCTCTACTAAAATACAAAAGTTAGCCAGGGGTCGTGGCACACGCCTGTAATCCCAGCTACTTGGGAGGCTGAGGCAGGAGAATTGCTTGAACCCAGGAGGCAGAGGCTGCAGTGAGCTGAGATCGTGCCACTGCACTCCAGCCTGGGTGACAAAGCAAGACTCTGTCTCCAAAAAAAAAAAGTATGTATACATATATATGTGTGTATGTGTGTATATGTGTGTGTGTGTGTATATATACATATATATGTGTACATATATACATATATACACACATATATATACACACACACATATGTAAAATTTAAAAAATTTTTAAATTAAAAAAAGAAAGAAAATTAGGGTGTTTCTGACCAGATGACAGGGCAGCAGATGCAAAAATCATCGTGGCATGGCAGCAGGAGCATCGCAATTTGGACCAGATCATCTGCGTGTCCTTGAACAAGGTGCTGTCACTTCTCTGAGCCTTGGTTTCCCCATGAGTCAAAGGAAGCAAGTAAACCCCAGCTGATGAGACTGTGTATGGCAAGAATGCCGCATGTGCCCAGGGCAGAGCCAGTGCTCCATAAAACCAGCTCCCATCTCTGCAAACCAAAGAATACCGGCCAAGGGGGAGCAGGGTTGAAGACTGGGGTAGAGGGTAAAATGGAGAAAGGATTTCCTTTGTGGCACAAAGAAGGTAAAGTGTTTCTTCATCTCATTGTCCCAGCAGCTGTGGCCAATCATCACGTGGCTAAGGACAAACCCCAGACACAGCCCTGGCCCACCATTTGTACAGACAGAATATTATAAATTGGGTATTTGAAAATTAGGACTTGCTGGGCGTGGTGGCTCACGCCTGTAATCCCAACACTTTGGGAGGCCAAGGCGGGCAGATCACTTGAGGTCAGGAGTTTGATGCCAGCCTGACCAACATGGCAAAATCCCATCTCTACTAAAAATATTTTTAAAAAATTAGTCAGGCACGGTGGTAGGCACCTGTAATCCCAACTGCTCAGGAGGCAGAAGCAGGAGAATCACTTGAACCCAGGAGGCGGAGGTTGCAGGGAACCGAGATCATGCCACTGCACTTTGGCCTGGGCGACAGAGTGAGACTTTGTCTTAAAAAAAAAAAAAAAAAAGAAGAGAAAATTAGAACCACTAGGAATGCCAGGGCTCTGGCTTTCAAATACTCTTGCCCTGGATCCCAGCATGGATACTGACCTCAGCATCAGAAACCTTTTCTCTCCTCTAAGGACATTCCTCTGCCTCCTTTCCTAACCTTCTGCTTTCCCTCCCACAGGGCTTCCAGAGTGACCCTGTCCGCCACCTGTCCACCTACCTATGCCTGTCTCTGGTGGTGGCACAGTTTGTGCTTTCCTGCTTGGCGGATCAACCCCCCTTCTTCCCTGAAGACCCCCAGCAGTCTGTAAGTCACCAAGTTCCAACCTCATTCCTGTTTCTCTTTGAGGTCTCAGTCTCCCCCAAGTGACCAAAAGTCTCTAATTTTTTATTCATTTAGCCATTCAGCAAAATGTGTATTGCATTTCTACTCGATGCCACAGTTGGCAGACTTTTTCTGTATGGGCCGAGAGAAAATATTTTAGACTCTGTGAGCCATACAGTGATCTCGGTGGCAACTACTCAACTCTGCCATTGAACACAAAAGCAGAATATGTCAACAAATTGCATGGCTGTGTTGTAATAAAACTTTATTTGCAGAAACAGGCAGTGGGCCAGACTTGGTCATAGTTTGCCAACCCCCCTCTATGCCCTAGCAAGGGCCTAAGGATCTGTGGTGAACAAGCAGATAGAGTTTCTGTTCTCATGTAGCTACTGGTCAAGTAGGGGAACCAGACGTTGGTCACGTAATTAAACAAATATGTTGGAAATTGGCTGGGCACAGTGGCTCATGCCTGTAATCCCAACACTTTGGGAGACTGAGGCAGGTGGATCACTTGAGGTGGAGAGTTCAAAACCAGCCAGGCCAACAGGGTAAAGCCCCATCTCTACTAAAATTACAAAAATTAGCCAGGCATGGTGGTGCACGCCTGTAATCCCAGCTACTCGGGAGGCTGAGGCAGGAGAATCCCTTGAACCCAGGATGTGGAGGTTGCAGTGAGCCGAGCTTGTCCCATTGCACTCCTTCCTGGGTGACAAAGAGCAAAACTCCACCTAAAAAATAAAAAATAAATAAAAAAAAAAAAGGAGAAAACAGAAAATTACCCCTGGAGTGAGTGCTCTGTAGAAGTTCATGAGACATTTACAATAGGTAACATTGAAGCAGTTTGTGAAACTAAGAAACAATTCTTTTGAGGAAGAGACTGATCTGACATCTTATAAATAGAGGTTCAAATGGGCTGCATGCAGCAGATCACGCCTGTAATCTCAACACTTTGGGAGGCTGAGGAAGGACGATTGTTTGTGCCCACGTGTTCTAGATGAGACTAGGCAATGCAGTGAGACCCCCATCTCTATAAAAAGTTTTGAAAAAATAGCCAAGTGTGGTGGCGCAAGGCTGTAGTCCCACTACAGAGTAGCTCTATATAGAGTCCCATAGAGTAGCTCTGTGGAGGCTGAAACAGGAGGATTGCTTGAGTCCAAGAGACAAAGGCTGCAGTGAGCTATGACTGCACCACTGTACTCCAGCCTGGGTGACAGAGGGAGACCCTGTCTCAAAAAAAAAAAAAAAATTGCTCGAAGGCTTGAGAATAATTAAAACTATCATAGAAATCTTTTTTGCACCTACAAGAGTAGCAACAAAATTTAAAAGCTGATAAACTGTGATGGCAGAAATGTGGTGAAATGGGCACCTTTATGCCTTATTGGTAAAGAGTACAGACTGTTGTAATCTTCCTGGAACACCCAACAAAATCCCATGACAGGTCTCTCTTCACAACATTTGCCAAGGGATATTGTCAAGGATCTCATTATCTTCGTTATGTAGGGTCCTTGCTTCTGAGATGCAAAGCAAGGTTTTGGTTTCAGTATAATCACAGTTGTTCTTCTGAGCCACTGTTAGTTCTCACCTTATGGACATTGTCAGGCCTGTGGCCCAACCTCTTTTTACCCTGCCTGCTGGGAAGCACCAAGCTCACTGGTGTGCACCTCTGGCAAGGAGACAAGGCACCTCGATGTGTACTTTCAGTACTAAATACACGGTCAGGGCTGGGTGCAGTGGCTCAAGCCGTAATCCCAGCATTTTGGGAGGCCGAGGTAGGCAGGATCGCTTGAGGTCAGGAGTTTCAGGCCAGCCTGGCCAACATGGTGAAACCCTGTCTCTACTAAAAATACAAAAAATTAGCTGTGTGTGGTGGCGCACACCTGTCATCCCAGCTCTTTGGAAGGCTGAGGCAGAAGAATCGCTTGAACCCAGGAGGCAGAGGTAGTAGTGAGCCAAGATCATACCACTGTACTCTAGCCTGGGCAACAGAGTGAAACCCTGTCTCAAAAAAAAAAACACAGTCAGTTCATCCTACCTTCCTGCTCTTGCCACATACTTCCCTTCTCCATTTCTCTCTGTTGCAGAATGCCTGTCCAGAGGCTGGGGCATCCTTCCCCTCCAAAGCCATGTTCTGGTGGGTTTCTGGGTAAGTAAAGTCACAGGGAAGGGTTGGGGTGGTACCTCACCCACCTGCATTTGCTGCTCTGATTCCCACCCATGGCCCTTCCTCTATGCTTACAAAGGCCAGCAAGGCTTTCTCCATCCCAGCCTCAGTGCTTTGTTCTTCGTGTTCAGTGTTCACCATCTGCATCCTGTTCCCATTCACTGACTGGAGTGAGATCTGGATTTGAATCCCAGCTCTGCCTTTCAGCAGGCCATATCACAAACCCCCGGAGCCTCAGTTTTCCCCTTTGTAAAATGGGGATGACTCAACCTTCATGAGACAGACAATGCTTAGTGCTTGCACACAGCAGGTGCTTGATAGTAATAGAATTGTCTCCAATACTTGACTTCAATCATTCCATCAACATTTAATAAGCACCTACTATGTGCTAAGCCCCAGGGGTGAGGAGATAAAGGAGCAAGTGTCTACTTTCTGGAGGGTTCCAGGCAGATAGAGAAAACAGCTGCTTCTCCTGGGCCAGCTCACCAGGCACTTGAGGATATGCTCCCTCCTGACCACACTGCATTCAGACCTCAGTAGCACCTGACATGTGGATTTGAATCCTGGCCCTACCACTTCCTAGCTGTGTAGCTTTGGACAAGTTACTTAACCTCTCTGTGCCTCAGTCTCCACTCCTTCAAAATGGGATTAATAATAGCACCTACCTCATAGGGTTGTGAAGCTTAAATAAGATAAGATCCGTAAAGCACTTAGAACAGGGCCTGGCACATAATGAGTGTAAGTGGTAATTTTTTTTTTTTTTTTTTTTTTTTTTTGAGATGGAGCTCTGCTCTTATTGCCCAGGCTGGAGTACAATGGCTTGATCTTGGCTCACTGCACCCTCCACCTCCCGGGTTCAAGCCATTTTCCTGCCTCAGCCTCCCGAGTAGCTGAGATTACACGTATGCGCCACTACGCTCGACTAATTTTGTATTTTTATTAGAGACAGTGTTTCTCCATGTTGGTCAGACTGATCTCAAACTCCCGACCTCAGATGATCCACCCGCCTTGGCCTCCTAAAGTGCTGGGATTACAGGCGTGAGCCACTGTGCCTGGGCTATTTTTTTTTTTTTTTTTTTTTTTTTTGAGACAGAGTTTCACTCTTGTTGCCCAGGAAGCAGTGCCACGGCACGATCTCAGCTCATTGCAACCTCCACCTCCCAGGTTCAAGCGATTCTCCTGCCCCAGCTTCCTGAGTAGCTGGGATTACAGGCGCCTGCCATCACGCCCAGCTAATTTTTGTAGTTGTTTGTAGAGACAGGGTTTCACCATGTTGGTTAGGCTGGTCTCAAACTCCTGACCTCAGGTGATCCACCCACCTTGACCTCCCAAAATGCTGGGATTACAGGCATAAACCACTGCACCTGGCCTAAGTGGCTATTAAATAAATGAAAAATATCAGGCTTTGGGTGTATGAAATTGGTAGAAAGAGCTTAGAGGTTTTCTAAACAGCTCTACTAGCGGGGCCAGTCCCTGCTTCCCCAACTGAAGCACTTATGGACCGCTCTTGATGCTTACTTGTCCTATTGGGGCAAAAATTAAATTGAGTCACTTTTTTTACTCTAATAAACTGTTTTTAAAAAGAAATTTTCTATCACTGCTAAAATAGGAAAAATCTATAGCATCACTTGCCATATAGGAGAACTCCAAAAATAATTTCGGGGAAAATCAAGCACATTGGTAATTTCTATGTCGGAACAGCTGCTTCCCCAAGTTGGCTCTTCATTAGAAAAGGGAATTTGGTGGCCTGGTGCAGTGACTCACACCAATAATCCCAACACCTTGGGAGGCTGAGGCGGGTGGATCACCTGAGGTCAGGAGTTCGAGACCAGCCTGACCAATATGGTGAAACCCCGACTCTACTAAAAATACAAAAATTAGCCAGGTGTGGTGGCAGGAGCCTGTAATCCCAGCCACTCAGGAGGCTGAGGCAGGAGAATCACTTAAACCCTGGAGGTGGAGGTTGCGTTGAGCCGAGATCACACAAGTGCACTCCAGCCTGGGTAACAGATTGAGACTCCATCTCAAAAAAATAAAAAGAATAAAAATAAAAAAGAAAAGGGAACTTGGCGAGGCTTAGAGAAGAGTCGGAGAACAGAACAACCTTCTGACTGGTGTCATCAGAAAGATTAAAGAGACCTGAGACCAGGCGCAGTGGCTCACACCCATAATCCCGACACTTTGGAAGGCCAACCCAGGCAGATCACTTGAGGCCAGGAGTTCGAGACCGGCCTAGCCAACATGGCGAAATCCTGTCCCTACTTAAACACAAAAATTAGCCAGGTGTGGTGGCTTACACCCGTAGTCCTAGCACTTTGGGAGGCTGAGGTGGGAGGACTGCTTGAGGCCAGTAGGTCAAGACCAGCCTGGCCAACATGGTGATACCCCATCTCTACTAAAAACACAAAAATTAGCCAGGTGTGATGGTGGGCGCTTGTAATTTCAACTACTCGGGAGTCTGAGGCATGAGAATCGCTTGAGCCAGGGAGGTGGAGGTTGCAGTGAGCCCAGATCGCACCAGTGCACTCCAGCCTAGGCAACAGAGTGAGACAGAATAATAATTTAAAAAATAAAACTGAGGGAGGAGTTCAAGCTTCTTCTACAACGATAGTTTTGGACAATGGATTTCTGATTCCCAGGCAAATGTCTGTTTCCCTTGCCAAGGGCTATCCCTTGGTTTAGCCACTTAATCTCTCTGCATTTCTATTTCCTTCCCCATCTGTAAAATAGATCTATAATAATATACTCATACACTTATACAATTATAAACTATCAATTTACAGGCTGGGTGTGGTGGCTCATGCCTGTAATCCCAGCACTTTGGGAGGCTGAGGCAGGTGGATCACCTGAGGCCAGGAGTTCCAGACCAGCCTGGCCAACATGGTGAAACCCCATCTCTACAAAAAATACAAAAATTAGCTGGGTATGGTGGTGGGTGCCTGTAATCCCAGCTACTCAGGAGGCTGAGGTGAGAGAATCGGTTGAACCAGGAGGTGGAGGATGCAGTGAGCCAAGATTGCGCCATTGCACTCCAGCCTGGGAGACAGTGCAAGATTCCATCTGAAACAAACAAACAGTCAAACAAACCATAATCATCTATCTTATGGGCTCACGTAAGAATTAATGAGACAGTCTTTGTGAACTGAGAAGTGCCCTCTAAATGTTAGATGGGGTTAGTGAATTTCTTTATTTTTACCCAGGGGCCAGTAGAGGTACAGAGAGGTAAAGTAACTTACCCAGGATCACACAGCTACTTGCCTGGCCAGGATCCTGCAGGGGTGAATGGCAGGAAAAGCTCGCCCTGGTGCCCGTCTTTTGCAGGCTGGTCTGGAGGGGCTACAGGAGGCCACTGAGACCAAAAGACCTCTGGTCGCTTGGGAGAGAAAACTCCTCAGAAGAACTTGTTTCCAGGCTTGAAAAGGCGTGGATGAGGAACCGCAGCGCAGCCCGGAGGTAAGTGAGTGGAGGTGGAGAACTCACCAGATGCTCCTTCAGAAAAGCTCATCATTGGCCAGGTGTGGTGGCTCACGCCTGTAATCCCAGCACTTTGGGAGGCCGAGGCAGGCGGATCATGAGGTCAGGAGTTCAAGACCAATCTGGCCAACATAGTGAAACCCCATCTCTACTAAAAATACAAAAATTAACTGGGCATGGTGGCGGGCACCTGTAATCCCAGCTACTCAGGAGGCTGAGGCAGGAGAATCGTTTGAACCCAGGAGGCAGAGGTTGCAGTGAGTGGAGATCTCACCATTGCACTCTAGCCTGAGTGACAGGCCGAGACTCCGTCTCAAAAAAAAAAAAAAAAAAGAGAAGAAAAGAAAAGCTCATCATTTGACCCCCAGTCCAGCCCCCAACACTACTCTTGCTGCCCTGCCGCCTCCCCACCTTACCTTCCGACTGATCCCACTAAGTAGTAACTGCCGATCAGGCTCAATATATGGTTCCTCCCAGAATGCATCACAGGTTCCTACAAACAGGGAACTCAAGGCAGAATGGCAGGCAGGAAACAGAAGAGGTATTTTAAGGCCAGGGTGGAGGGTTGGGAGGTGACTCATAACATGCAGGCAGCTGCTCACTTACTGTATAACCTGAGCAATTCCTTTCCTGGGCCTCAGTTTTCTCATCTGTTCAGTGGGGATGTCGTTAGCCCCAGCTCATAGCTTATGGGGATGAAAAAAAGATGGTTTATGGAAAAGAACTTGCAAATGTCTTGCAAATGGGAAGTGCTCAAGCACTGTTAGTCATCCAGAGGGTGTTGAAATCCTTGGAGCTATCCACTCTGTCCACTCCTGCCCTCAGTGGCATCTCTGGAAACTTCTCTGAAGTTTCCAGAATGCCTCATTTGAGAAATTCTGGTCTAGCTTAATTAGCCTGCAACATAGGATTAGATAAAATTGGGTTAAATGCTGCCCTGCCTTCGAATAGTGATGACCTTGGACACATTGCTTAATCTCACCGGAGCTTGGTGTTTCAGGAGACAGAACAAAAAAGTAAGTTAGCTCTGTGGGAAGACTAACTAGGTTTCCCTGCATACTCTGGGACTGTGTGCTAGTTGTTGCAGATGGCTGAATCCCACACATTAAGAGAGAGGAGAGACTGATACTATAGGCTCACATAGTAAGAGGATCTAGCCTCAGGTGTTGCTGGATCCGGGGACTCACATGATGTCAGGATTCTCTCCCTTCATCTCCCACCCCAACTATTATCTATGTGTTGGTCTCTCCATAAGGCCTGTCCCTTCCCATGCAAGTTCAGCAAACCCCAGCAGAATGAGAGAGCATCTCCCTCTTAACATCCGTATAGAAAATCCCAAGGAAGGCCTCTAATTGGCCTGGCTGGAGTCACGTGCCTGTCAGGGGCCAATCCCATACTCACAGGGCTGGTTCCATGACTGTGGTCCCTTCAAAGCCACAGAAGAGGGTAGGGGCTGTTCCCACAAAGGAATGGCATGTGTTTTTCCAAACAGAATGAGTAGTATGAGCGAACCAAAACATCACTTCTCTCTGTCACCCCAGGCATGGTTTGCTGGAACCCCTTTACTGGGTTGGTTGGTTGGTTGGTTTTTTGAGACAGAGTCTCACTCTGTCACCCAGGCTGGAGTGCAGTGATATGATGTCAGCTCACTGCAACCTCCACCTCCTGGGTTCAAGTGATTCTCCTGTCTCAGCCTTCTGAGTAGCTGGGACCACAGGCGTGCACCACCACACCTGGCTAATTTTTTTTATTTTTTTAGTAGAGACAGGGTCTCACCATGTTGGCAGGCTGATCTCGAACTCCTGACCTCAGCTGATCTGCCTGTCTTGGCCTGTCAAAGTGCTGGGATTACAGGTGTGAGCTACTGCGCCTGACTCATCCTCTACCTTTAAATGATTTTACAGAAGTGGCAGAATTCAGTCCACGGGGGCTCTGGGAGGAACCTCTGCCAAGTCCCGGCATCCCCAGCCAACATGAAAATTACAGGTCACCCACCACTAGAACTAAACAGTAGAAACATTCTCCAGAACTGTTTGAGAATCCTCCCATAAACAGTTGACAGAAAGAAAGGGGAAAGACGGGGTTATACAAAGACCAGGCTCCCTCAGCTTCTGAACCAACCAACTGCACCCACGGAGAACTTTGGTTTCCTTTCTGAAGTATTTTGCAATCACTGGGGGAAGGGAGACGGTGTCCTCCTAAGAGGTCACACAACAGCCACCTGCTGGTCAAGTCAGCTTCCCAAGGTATGTTTGGCGCACATGGGCCTTTGTGGTTGTTTGTATTGTTTTGTTTTTTTAATAAGTTGCCAATATTTAAAAATTTGGAGCGATCCCATAAAAATCTGGAATTCTAGACTGGGCACAGTGGCTTGCACCTGAAATCCCAGCACTTTGGGAGGCCAAGGCGGGCAAATCACATGAGGCCAGGAGTTCAAGACCAGCCTGGCCAACATGGTGAAACCCCATCTCTGCTAAAAATACAAAAATTAGCTGGGTGTGGTGGCGAGCGCTGTAATCCCAGCTGTTCGGCAGGCTGAGGCAGGAGAGTCCCTTAAACCTGGGAGGCAGAGGTTGCAGTGAGCTGAGATCGCGCCACCACACTCCAGCCTGGGCGACAAAATGAGACTGTGTCTCAAAAAATAAATACAAATACCAATAAATAAAAATAAAAATCTGGAATTTTGGTCTCAAAGTAGATCTGGCAAACCTAGGCCACATCTTCACAAGGCAGTATTAGATTGGATTTGGGTAGAGTCTGCAGCATTGGACAACGTGTACAGTCTTCAATTTGCTACAGTCCCTATCTCTCTCTCTTTTTTTTTTTTTTTTTTAAGAGTCTGTTTCTGTCACCCAGGCTGGAGTACAGTGGCGCGATCTCAGCTCACTGTAAGCTCTGCCTCCTGGGTTCAAGCGATTCTCCTGCCTCAGCCTCCCAAGTAGCTGGGACTACAAGCGCCTACCACCATGTCCGGCTAATTTTTGTATTTTTTATTAGAGGCAGGGTTTCTCCATGTTGCTCAGGCTATCAGGCTGGCCCTGAACTCCTGGCCTCAGGTGATTCGCCCGCCTCAGCCTCCCAAAGTGCTGGGATTACAGGTGTGAGCCACCGTGCCCGGCCTCTACCACACCCTTTTGTATCCCGCAACTCACACCTTGCCCATGTCACTCATGCATATGCCCATGCCTTGCCCCACCATCATTTGTGAGATCTGCACTAAATGGTCTTCAGTCCAGAGACCAGACATCAGACACTAATCTGGACGTCTTCCTTGATGGGAGGTGAGACCTGCAGGAGAGGAAAACGCTTGCTATGGAGCCTGCAGGCTAAACACATGGATTCTCTGGGGCAAAGAGCTTGAATAGAACTGAGCAAAAACTCCAGCCAGAAAGAAAACTTCTCAGTCAACTCTTCCCCGACCCCACTTTACAGATGGAAACACTAAGGCTCAGAGGAGAGGAGACAGAGCAGGCATTGGAATCACAGTCTCCTGGCTCCAAAGCCAAGTTCTGTCCACCCAGCCAAGCTCCTTCCTTCCTTCTATAAATTTTTGTAACAGTATGTGCAGGGGGCACTCTCATTAGGCCCTTTGCACACATCACTCAATCTGTTTTTCCCATTCATTTGACAAGTGTTTATTGAGCTCCTACTGTGTGCAGGAGCTGGACTTGATATTAGGGACATCTTGGTGGAAAACACAGGCAAAGTCTACCCACCTGGCTTCTCAGGGGTCTTAGGATGGCTGGGGAGTGCCTGGCACGTAGTAGGTGCTCAACACATGTGCTTTCCCATGGCCATCTAAGAGGCCTCAGAGTGCCCTCCTGCCATGCCCCCAACTCCTGTGATTGTCTCTTAAGTGGCTACTCAGGGTGATAAGGAGGAACGGGTGAGGGAGCCAGCCTGGATCCACACCCACCCATCTCCATTGTTTGGAAAATAACCCTTTAATGCCTGGCCCTGCTGCTGGCAGCTGAGAGTATAAAATGGGACCCAGAGCCAATCTCTTCCCTCCCCTAAGGCACACCAAGGCAACAACATTTAAAAGGAAAGGCAGCAGTGACATGGAGGCTCCAGATACTGAGCCATTCCTACGGCAAGAAGGGAGCCAGTGGGGCCCACTGCTGAAGGCCATCTGGCAGGTGTTCCATTCTACCTTCCTCCTGGGGACCCTCAGCCTCGTCATCAGTGATGTCTTCAGGTTCACTGTCCCCAAGCTGCTCAGGTGAGTCCCAGACTTCAAGTGCTCTGCTAAGGTGGGTGGTCTATTAGTGGCATCCTTCCAGGGCCAGGGGGCTTCAGCTCTCCTGCCTCTGCTTATATATCTGCTGCTCGGGACACTGGAGGGTGGGTGAGAAGGATACTGAGAAAGGGAAATGGTTAATGAGAAAGTGACTGACCCCCAGAAGGGCAAATAAGCAAGTTCTTACCTGACTACATCAATTAGCTTTTGCTGTAAAATGCCCCAAATGTGAGTGGCTTAAAATTACAAGCATTCATTTATTTAGTTCATGGTAATGTGGGTCAGTAATGTGGGCTGGGATCAGCTGGGTGGTTCTTCTTTTCTTGGCTGGGTTTTCTCATGTGCCTGCAGTTGTGTATCTGAGGCTGGGATGGCTGTCTATGCTCCATGTGGGTTCCCATCCTCCAAAAGGCTAGCTCAGACTTGTTCATGTGGCTGCTTGGGAGGGTTCTAAGAAATAGGCCAAAAGCCACATTTTCTCTCGAGGCCTAGGCTCAGAGCCAGCATGGCTTTACCTCCACCATACTCTGTTGGCCAAAGCTGGTTTTGTAGCCAGCCCAGATTCAAGTGGTGTCTGCTCAGCTGCCATAACAAAGCATCACAGACTGAGTGGCTTAAACAACAGAAATGTATTTTCTTATGATTCTGGAAGCTGGAAGTTCGAGATTAGGTATCTTCAAGGTGGTTCCATCTGAGGCCTCTGTCCTTGACTTGCAGTTGGCCACCTCCTCCCTGTGTCCCCATGTGATCTTTCCTCTGTGTGTGCCCCCTGGTGTCTCCTTGTGTGTCTGCCTTTTCTCTTCTTATAAGGACCCAGTCAGGTTGGATTAGGGCCCAGCCTAATGACCTCATTTTAACTTCATTGCCTCTTTCATGGCCCTATTTCCAAATACAGTCACATTCAGAGGTACTGGGGGTAGGGGCTTCCACATATAAATTTTGTGAGGACACAATTTAGCCCATAACAAGTGGGGACAAAAACTCCACCTCTTGATCTTGAGGAGCTGCAGTCAGATTGAAAAGGAGTATTATGGACAGTGGGGGAAATAACGGAGACCATTATTGCAAAAAAGTCAACCACACCGACTGATCCTCCACACCTGGCCTGGTCTGGGCAAAGGCCACACCCATGGGCACCTCCTCTCACCAGCTGTACCTTCTCCCTCCTTCCCCTGCAAGCCTTTTCCTGGAGTTCATTGGTGATCCCAAGCCTCCAGCCTGGAAGGGCTACCTCCTCGCCGTGCTGATGTTCCTCTCGGCCTGCCTGCAAACGCTGTTTGAGCAGCAGAACATGTACAGGCTCAAGGTGCTGCAGATGAGGCTGCGGTCAGCCATCACTGGCCTGGTGTACAGAAAGGTGAGCCCTGGGGGACAAGTGCAGTCCTCGCAGACCGGGAAAAGCAACATCACTGAGCTGATGATAGTGTTATCAGCAGCTGAGAACGCATTCAGTCCTTACTTATTAGAGTCACTCAGGATACAGTCTCACTTCCTTAGTTATTTCTCTTTGTTTATATATATTTATTTTTTTGAGACAGAGTCTCACTCTGTCACCCAGCCTGGAGTGCAGTGGTGCAATCTCAGCTCACCGTAACCTCTGACTGCTGGGTTCATGCCATTCTCCTGCCTCAGCCTCCTGAGTAGCTGGGACTACAGACACGTGTCACCACGCCTGGCTCATTTTTGTATTTTTAGTAGATAAAAGGTTTTGCCATGTTGGTCAGGCTTGTTTCAAACTCCTGGCCTCAAGTGATTTGCCTCACCTCCTTAGTTATTTCTGTAAGGTGTCGTGTGATCTGAGAGGTAACTCTGACCTCATCCTGTCACACACACACCCGCCTCCTCCCATGCTCACTCTCCTCCAGTCACACAGGTCTCTTTTCAGTTCCTCAGATATTCCAGGTACCCACCCACCTTGGGGCCTTTGTAGTTCTCACTGCCTAGATACCATTTCCACTCTCCCTAATCTAATTTTAATTTTTGAGCCTAATTTTAACTTCCACTTATTCCCCCTTGAGGATAAAGGGTTAACCTTCTGATAAGGTGGCCTGTCAGTTATGTTCCCAGACAATACTGCTTGTGGTAAAAATGACCCCTAGGCTGGGCGCAGCGGTGCACGCCTGTAATCCCAGCAATCTGGGAGGCTGAGGCAGGCGGATCACTTGAGATCAGGAGTTCAAGACCAGCCTGGCCAACATGGCGAAACACCATCTCTACTAAAAATACAAAAATTATCCAGGCATGGTGGCACATGGCTGTAATCCCAGCTACTCAGGAAGCTGAGAAAGGAGAATCCCTTGAACCCAGGAGGTGGAGGTTGCAATGAGCTGAGATTGTGCCACTGTACTGCAGCCTGGGTAACAGAGCAAGATCCCATCGGAAAAAAAAAAAAAATTGCATCTGGGCTGGAAGTTCTGTCCATTGACTGTGAATACCTGATTGGAGGCCACAGCTTTCGACTTCTCTCGGTGCAGTGGCTCTTGTCCCTTCAGGGGACTCTGGAAGCTAAGTCCCTAGACTGCTGCTGCAAGAGCTATTGGCTCTTGTGGGGTATGGAGCATCTGAGCCAGGGCAGGTCCCATCCCATGTAAGTCTCGCTCCTCGACACCTGAGCTGTCACCTAGGGGAGGAGGGGACAGAGGGAACAGCTCCTGGATGGCCGAGAGGGCAGCTCTTGATGCTGTCCTGCCAGAGTGCTATGTCCCAGGCTCATGTTCCCCTGAGCATGCCAGTGCTGGGTGTGTCCTATCCTGCCTTGAAAGTCCACATTTCCTTGAGCCTAAGAGGAAGGCCGCCTGAGCAGGCGAGCAGGCGTTGATCTTCCTTTTTCTCATCCACCTGCTGGGAGGCCTTCTTTGATCTCTCAATGAGATCAGATCCCTCCTCTCTAACCTCTGGGCTTTTTTTTCTTTTTCTTTTCTTTTTTTTTTTTTTTTGAGACAGAGTTTTGCTCTCATCGCCCAGGCTGGAGTGCAATGGCACAGTCTGAGCTCACCGCAGTCTCCATCCCCTGGGTTCAACCGATTCTTCTGTCTCAGCCTCCCGAGTAACTGGGATTACAGGTGTGCGCCACCATGCCCGACTAATTTTGTATTTTTAGTAGAGACGGGGTTTCACCATGTTGGCCAGGCTGGTCTCAAACTCCTGACCTTAGGTGATTCACCCACTTCAGCCTCCCAAAGTGCTGGGATTACAGGCGTGAGCCACCGTGCCCAGCCTTGGCTGCTTTTTTTATGGTACTCATCATAACTGCCATTAAAGCATGAGTGATAGAAATCTTTTTGTTTTGTCTTATTTTTTGAGACAGAGTCTCACTCTGTCACCCAGGCTGGAGTGCAGTGGTGCGATCTCGGCTCACTGCAACCTCTGCCTCCTAGATTCAAGCGATTGTCCTGCCTCAGCCTCCTGAGTAGCTGGGATTACAGGTGCCCAACAGTACCTGTATTTTTGTATACACAATTTCTGTATTTTTACTAGAGACGGAGTTTCGCCATATTGGCCAGACTGATCTTGAACTCCCGGCCTCAAGCAATCCATCCTCCTCGGCCTCCCAAAGTGCTGGGATTACAGGTGTGAGCCACCATGCCCGGCCAGTAATATAAATCTTTATTATAGAGCCTTGTTCCCCACCTCAAACTCCAGTCCTGGGAGAGCAAGCCTGGTCTCTCTTGTTCACAGCTGTATTTTCAGTTCCCAGCTCAGTGTGAGTCACACAGTGGGCACTCTTCGAAGATTTGTTAAGTGGAGAATTTGTATGCACAGTCATTCCTGGATCACTTCTTCACTCCCTCACACAGTCACAAAGAGAGGACTACATGTGGAATTTAGCATTCAACAGGCTGGAAAAGGTCCACTGTGACCCCAGGGTTAAGGCAGTGAAGCTGTCAGAGAACCAGGTTGGTGTCAGAGAAGCACATGAAAAGTCTCACCTTTGTCATGCCTTCGTTACCCTGGGTTCCATTCCTTGTGTAGGAGCTTACAAGGCCTGTGACTTTGGGAAAGTTGCTCAAGTTCTCTGTGCCTCAGTTTCTTTAGCCATAGAATGGGGTTAGTAAATGTTCATTTCATTGATTCTAGTCTCACATTTTTTTTCACTCTAATACTTCCAAAATTGAGGTGTCTCTTACATGTCTTAATTTAACTGGAAATGGTATTTTCCTTGGTGAGAGAATAATAGAGAGCATTTTATCCAGAGCATTTTTTTTAAAGACAGGGTCTTGCTCTGTTGCCCACGCTAGAGTGCAGTGGCACCACCACGGCTCACTGCAGCCTCAACCTCCTGGACTCAAGTGATCCTCCCACCTCAGCCTCCCCAGTAGCTAGCTGGGACCACAGGCACACACAACCATGCCTGGGTAATTTTTTTTTTTTTTTTCCTGAGACAGAGTTTTGCTCTTGTTGCCCAGACTGGAGTGCAATGGCTTGATCTTGGCTCTCTGCCACCTCCGCCTCCTGGGTTCAAGCGATTCTTCTGCCTCAGCTTCCCAAGTAGCTGGGATTACAGGTGCCTGCCACCATGCCCGGCTAATTTTTGTATTTTCAGTAGAGACAGAGTTTCACCATGTTGGCCAGGCTGGTCTCAAGCTCCTGACCTCAGGTGATCTGCCTGCCTCGGCCTCTCAAGGTGCTGGGATGACACGCGTGAGGCATTGCACCCAACCCCCTGGCTAATTTTTAAGTGTTTTTGTAGAGATTGGGTCTTGCTATGTCACCCAGGCTGGTCTCGAACTCCTAAGATCAAGCAGTCCTCCCACCTCAGCCTCCCAGAGTGGTGGGATTATAGGCAGGGGCCACTGCGCCTGGCCTGGCATTAGACAGAATGAATATGGTAGTGCCTGCTTGGTACCACTCACGGCTGTGAGCACCCCAGACATGATGAGGCTGTGCCTTTAGCACAGTGCCTGGGATATGGTGAGCACTGGGCAGATGACCACCATTATCCATGTTCATCTGGTGTTTTCGTGCATGTTATTCATTATTACGTCTCCCGTGCTTTAGGAATCTTGGAGAATTTTCATTTTTGTCGTCTCTGTGGATCCTCAAACAACCCTGAGAGGTTGGCCTAAGAGACTTTACTCACCCACCTCGCAGACGCATGAAGTGGGGCTCAATGGGTGGAGAAGCCGTCTGGGATGTCCCTCTGTCCTGGCCTCCCCTCTCTACTTCTCTCCTTCCGCCCACGCACCAGGTCCTGGCTCTGTCCAGTGGCTCCAGAAAGGCCAGTGCGGTGGGTGACGTGGTCAACCTGGTGTCCGTGGACGTGCAGCGGCTGACTGAGAGCATCATCTACCTCAATGGGCTGTGGCTGCCTCTTGTCTGGATCGTGGTCTGCTTCGTCTATCTCTGGCAGGTGCACGATGGGAGGAAGACGGGATTTGAACAGAGTCCCCCACCCCTCCTTCTCCCCCTCCTCCTCCCCACTCTCACCCTTCCTCCTTCTCACTTAGCATTCAAGAGGCTGGAAGAGGTCCGCTGTGACCCCAGGATTAGGGCAAGTTTGAGGCTGTGGGAGAACCAGGTTGGTGTGAGAGAGGCACATGAAAGATCTCACCCTGGTCCTGCCTTCATCACCCTGGATTCCATTCCTGGTATAGAATCTTACAAGCCTTCCTCCCCACTCCCCCTGCCCCGGCCTCCTCCTCCTGCACCCCTTCCCTCACCCTCCCTCTTCCTGCATCCCCCCCACCTTCTGCCCATGTACCCACCTCCTCTTCCTGTACCCCTTCCTTTCCCTCCTTCCTCCTCCTCTTCCTCTTCCTGTCTCCTGCTCCACCTTCTTCTTCCTATCTGCTCCCTGTCATCTTCCCTCCCACTTCTTCCCTTCTCCCCTCTTCCTCTACCCTCCTCCCTCCCCTCTTCCCTCTCCTCCTCCCTCTCCTTCTAGTCCCTTTCTTCCTCTTCCTCTCCTCCTTTTCCTCCTCTCTTTCCACCCCCATCTCCTCCTTCTCCTCCTCCTCTAATCCTGTCTCCATTTGCCTACTATTGGCTGATATAATGGGAAAAGTCTTCAATAAGGATGACCTTCACTTGACCTTGGGCAGGAAGCTCACCTTCTCTGGGCCTCAGTTTCCTCTGTAGAATGATGGTGATGATGATGATGACATTGACACTTCCCCATGTGCTATTAGGGTACCCAGTAGGCAACTTAACCATGTTTTGAAGTTACCAGTAACCCTGGGGCACCACCACAGCCACCATCCACAAAACACAAGAGGAGAACATTTTAGGGGGAAAAAATTGCTATTTCATGTTCAAAAGACACAAAGTAGCCATCAGGACACAACCAAACAAACCAAACAAAACATTTGCTTTCCAACTTCGTTCCTTTAACTTTGTGGTATAGCATTTTCTTTTTCTAAATTAAAATCAGACTCTGGGCTAGGCACGGTGGCTCGTGCCTGTAATTTCAGCACTTTGGGAGGCCCAGGTGGGTGGATCACTTGAGGTCAGGAGTTCGAGACCAGCCTGGCCAACATGGTGAAACCCCATCTCTACTAAAGGATACAAAAATTAGCTGGGCATAGTGACGGATGCCTATAATCCCAGCCACTCAGGAGGCTGAGGCAGGAGGATCGCTTGAGCCTTGGAGGTGGAGGTTGCAGTGAGCCGAGATCATGCCACTGCACTCCAGCCTGGGTGACAGTGTGAGACTCTGTCTCCCAAAAATAAATAATAAAAATAAAAATAAAAATAGACTCTGTATCGGGAACTGCCTAGGCTCAAATCCTGCTTCTGACCACTTACGAATCCGTGTGCAAGGAACCTACTCTCTCTCTGCCTCCTGTTCTTGTCTCCAACGTGAGGATCATAATTAACAGGCGCACCCCTGCCCCAGAGGTGCTGAGGCATTAACGAGCCATACATAGAAAGCACGTAAAACAGCACCGGACACACAGCTGCACCCTGTAGGTATTTGTAATATTATCATTAGTTACTTTTCCATAAAGAGTAAGACAGTAGATATTTTTTACACTGGGGACCATACCGCCTCTCCTGCAAATATTCACCTCTGCCCGTGGAGTGCAGAAGTGGCCGTAGACCATACTAAGCAAACAGGCATGGTATTCCTCCAGTAAAACTCTATTTATGGATGCTGACATTTGAACTGCGTATCATTTTCATATGTCATGAAATAGTATCCTTCTGATTTTTTTTTTTTTTGAGACAGTGTCTCACTGTGTTGCCCAGGCTTTAGTGAGATGGCGCAACTTCGGCTCACTGCAACCTCTGCCTCCCGGGTTCAAGTGATTCTCCTGCCTGAGCCTCCCGAGTAGCTGGGATTACAGGTGTTTGCTACCACGCCTGGCTAATTTGTGTAGTTTCAGTAGGGATGGGGTTTTGCCATTTTGGTCAGGCTGGTCTCGAACTCCTGACCCCAAGTGATCCACCCACCTCAGCCTCTCAAAGTGCTGGGATTATAGGCATGAGCCACCATGCCCGGCCTGATTTTTTTCAACTATTTAAAAATATTAAAACTATTAAACATTTTTGTGCAGCTCATAGGCTCTATGAAAACAGGCGGAGGGATCCATATGTCTCCCATATAGATACTATATGCCATGGTTTACAAAGCCCTGGTTAGGTTTTTGTTTGTTTGTTTGTTTTGTTGAGGCGGAGTCTTACTCTGTTGCCCAGACTTGAGTGCAGTGGTGCAATTTTGGCTCATTGCAACCTCTGCCTCCCAAGGTTAAGCAATTCTCGTGCCTCAGCCTCCCTAGTAGCTGGGATCACAAGGGTGCACCATCACACCCAGCTAATTTTTGTATTTTCAGTAGAGATGGGGTTTTGTCATTTTGGCCAGGCTGGTCTCGAACTCCTGGCCTCAAGTGATCCGCATGCCTCAGCTTCCCAAAGTGCTAGGATTACAGGCGTTAGCCACCATGCCTGAATCCTGGCTAGGTACGTTTCAGGTATAATGGCTATCAAGCCTGAGGTGGAAGGATCGCTTGAAGCCAGGAGTTTAAGACTAGCCTGGGCAACATACCAACCAGAGAAATCCCGTCTCTACAAAAAAAATTTTTTTTCTTTTTCTGCTTTTTTTTTTTTTAGACGGAGTCTCGCTCTGCAGCCCAGGCTGGAGTGCAGTGGCGCAGTCTCAGCTCAGTGCAAGCTCCGCCTCCCAGGTTCACACCATTCTCCTGCCTCAGCCTCCTGAGTAGCTGGGACTACAGGCGCCCACCACTATGTCCGGCTAATCTTTTTGTATTTTTAGTAGAGACAAGATTTCACCTTGTTAGCCAGGATGGTCTCGATCTCCTAAAAATTTGTTTTTAATTAACTGGGCACGGTGGTGGTGCACACCTATAGTCATAGCTATTTAGGAGGCTTAGGCAGGAGGATCGCTTGAGCCCAGGAATTCAAGGTTACAGTGAGCTATGATCATGCCATTGAATTTGAGCTCTGAGACAGAGCAAGACCCTCTTTATAAAAATTGTAAAAGATGTTTTGTTTTGAGACAGAGTCTCACTGTGTCGCCCAGGCTGGAGTGCAGTGGGGCAGTCTCAGCTCACTGCAACCTCCGCCTCCCAGGTTCAAGCGATTCTCCAGTCTCAGCCTCCTGAGTAGCTGGGATTACAGGCATGTGCCACTACATCTGGCTAATTTTTGTATTTTTAGTAGAGACCAGGTTTCACCACATTGGCCAGGCTGGTCTCAAACTCCTGACCTCAGGTGATCTGCTCACCTCAGCCTCCCAAAGTGCTGGGATTACAGGCATAAGCCACCATGCCTGGCCTTGTAAAAACTGTTAATGGCATTTTGATCATAATTGTTGAATACTCCAAAAAAAATCTAATGCTCATGCATATGGTTGTTTTTGCTAGGACTACGGGCCAGGACCTTTCCCAATGCCTTCACCTTGTATTCCAGGGCCTTGCAAACAATAGGTAGGTGCTTAGCAATTACAACATAAGGCACTCAGTGCTTGATGAGCAGTGCATAAATGTCATCATTAGGAAGAAAGAGAGGGGCCGGGCGCGGTGGCTCAAGCCTGTAATCCCAGCACTTTGGGAGGCCGAGACGGGAGGATCACGAGGTCAAGAGATGGAGACCATCCTGGCTAACACGGTGAAACCCCATCTCTGCTAAAAAAAAATACAAAAAACTAGCCAGGCAAGGTGGCGGGTGTCTGTAGTCCCAGCTACTCGGGAGGCTGAGGCAGGAGAATGGCGTAAACCCGGGAGGCGGAGCTTGCAGTGAGCTGAGATCTGGCCACTGCACTCCAGCCTGGGCGACAGAGCAAGACTCCGTCTCAAAAAAAAAAAAAAAAAAAGAGAGGGAGAGAGGAAGAACATGGGAAAATTCAGGGCAATTGATCAGGTTGACCCCACCGCTGCTAAAAATCAGACGAGACCAGGCAGGGCATGGTGGCTCACGCCTGTAATCCCAGCACTTTGGGAGGTCAAGGCCGGCAGATCACTTGAGGTCAGGAGTTCAAGATCAGCCTGGCCAACATGGCAAAACCCCGTCTCTACTGAAAATACAAAAATTAGCCAGGTGTGGTGGCATGTGCCTGTAATCCCAGCTACTAGGGAGGCTGAGGCAGGAGAATCGCTTGAACCTGGGAGGCGGAGGTTGCAGTGGGCCAAGATCACACCACTGCACTACAGCCTGGGCAACCAAGCGAGACTCCGTAAAAAAAAAAAAATTAGATGAGACCAACAAGACATCCATAGGTAATGCACCATGTTACTTTGCATGTTACTTTGCATACTACTTTTCCTGCCTCTTGGTAGACAGTTCCTAACATCACCGTGAGATCTCGGTGAAGGAGGAGTGGACATTGGGGATGCTACAGTTTAATGATACCATTTTTCCCCCAGACAGAGATGTTCATCTTCCGCTCACATTCCTTTGAGTGTTTTTCCAACCCCTGCTGTGGGCTGCTGTTTACCCTCTGGGCACTTCTCCACTAAGCCACTAGGTAGCGCCATTGCTGCATAAATGAAACAAACTGGCCCAAGGTTAGAAAATAGTGTTCCCAGGCCAGGCAGGGTGGCTCAAACCTGTAATCCCAGCACTTCAGGAGGCTGAGGTGGGTGGATCACTTCAGATCAGGAGTTTGAGACCAGCCTGGGCAACATGGTGAAACCCCATCTCTACTAAAAATACAAAAATTAGCCAGGCAGAGTGACACCCGCCTGTAATCCCAGCTACTCAGGAGGCTGAGACAGGAGAATCGCTTGGGAAGCGGAGGTTGCAGTGAGCCAAGATCACGATACTGCACTCCAGCCCGGGTCACAGAGTGAGACTCCATCTCAAAAAAAAAAAAAAAAAAAAGTAAGTAGTGTTCCTAAGGACTGAGAGGGGAAACTGAGGCACACAGACTGGAGTTGGGGTGGGGTTCCTCGAGAGAATGGGTCCAAATAACCTGTGAAGGAATCTCAGAAAGTCACAGCAACTTAAAAATTACTTATTCTAGCCCCACTTCCACATTTTCCACATACAGAAACCAAAGCTGAGAGGGGGAAGGTAACCATCCCAAAATCACTACTTTGGTTGGGGAGCAGCGTTGCCAGGGAAAACACAGGACATCCAGTGAAGTATGAGTTTCAGACAAATGGGAGAACTTCTCAGTGTATGTCCCAAATACTGCACGAGACTTAGACTAAAACCTTCTTCACTCTTCATCTTCAAATGTAACTGGGCATCCTGTATGATGATTTGCTAAATCTGACAACCCTCATGAGGGGTGAAATGAAGATTAGGAAAACAATTAAACGTAATAAGAGAAAATGCCAAATAAGAACAACTCTATTCCCATTTTGCAGACAAGGGAATTGCACCTTAAGGAGGTGACTTGCCCCAAGGCCACACTCACAAGTGTCAGGGTCAGGATTTGAACCAGGTCCTGATTCCATAGGTCTCAACTTTACCGTTGTGGCTGGGAACACCCCCTAGTCCCACTCGTGTGTGCGCACGATCTGTCTTGAATATAACCCTCTCCCCGTCATGTAAGAGGGCCATTCCCCTCCCTGACATTGAAGGACCCCACCTTCAGCAGGCATCTCCTGTCACAGCAGACCCCCATGAGCCCAGATCCCCGAGACCTGGTGGCTGCCCTTATCAGATTCCCGGACATCCCCATCTTAAGACCCAAGTCTGACCACCTTCGGGATCTGCAGTTGTGTTACAGGAAAGGGGTCCTGATCCAGATCCAATGAGAGGGTTTTTGGATCTTGTGCAAGAAAGAATTCAGGGCGAGTCCATAAAGTGAAGGCAAGTTTTTTGTTTTGTTTTTTCTTTTTTCTTTTTCTTTCTTTTTTTTTTTTTTGAGATGGAGTCTCATTCTGGCACACAGGCTGGAGTGCAGTGGCGCGATTATGGCTCACTGCAACCTCCGCCACCCGGGTTCAAGCGATTCTCCTGCCTCAGCCTCTTGAGTAGCTGGGATCACAGGTGCCCACCACACCCAGCTAATTTTTATATTTTTAGTACAGATGGGGTTTCACCATGTTGGCCAGGCTGGTCTTGAACTCCTCACCTCAGGTGATCTGCCCGCCTTGGCCTCCCAAAGTGCTGGATTACAGGCATGATCCACCACACTGGGCCAAAAGCAAGTTCTTCAGGGAAGTAAAGATTTAAAAGAATGGCTACTCCACAGACAGAGCAGCGCAGAGGGCTGCTGGTTGCCCATTTTTATGGTTATTTCTTGATGATATGCTCAACAAGGGGTGGATTGTTCATGCCTTTCCTTTTTAGACCATATAAGGTAACTTGCTGATGTTGCCATGGCATTGGTAAACTGTCATGGCGCTGGTGGGAGTGCAGCAGTGAGGACAATGAGAGGTCACTCTCGTAGCCATCTTGCTTTTGGTGGGATTTGGCCGGCTTCTTTACTGCAACCTGTTTTATCAGGAAGGTCTTTGTGACCTGTGTCTTGTGCCGACCTCCTGTCTCATCCTGTGACTTGGAATGCCTTAACCGTCTGGAAATGCAGCCCAGCAGGTCTCAGCCTCATTTTACCCAGCCCCTATTCAAGATGGAGTTGCTCTGGTTCACGTGCCTCTGAGAGCTGTGCTCCTCGGGATCTCCTGACATCCTGCCCCCTCTGTCCCCAGCTCCTGGGCCCCTCCGCCCTCACTGCCATCGCTGTCTTCCTGAGCCTCCTCCCTCTGAATTTCTTCATCACCAAGAAGAGGAACCACCATCAGGTTCGGCTTTGGGGAAAGGGACGGACCAGGCAGGAAGCAGGGAGGAAGCCACAGGTCCTGGTGTGGGAGATGGGGAGGGGAGAGTTGAGTGCGAGCCCACGTGTCTGGCTTTGTTCTTGCCGTCTGTGAGCTGCCCATCACGCAGACCTGCACCCCTCCCGTCACCATCTCAATGGACAGTGGCGCCGTCCCTCTAGTGTTCAGGTCACAGGCCCTGGGTCAGTTCAATGCCTTTTACTCTCACATCCCATCTGTCAACAGATTTGCTTGGTGTCACCTTCCAAATGCATCCAGAATGTCACCCTTTCCAGCGCAGGCTCTGCAAACCCCATGGTCTCTAACCCAGGTCATAGCAGCAAGCCCCTGGTGCACTCCCCGCTTCTGCCCTCAGCCTCTCTCCACTCCCAGCCACAGCAGACCTGTGCAAACCAAATACGTCGCACCCCTCCTCTACTCAGACCCACAGCGGCCCCATTTTCCTCAGACTGAGCCAAAAACCCACAGAGGCCCACCAGGCCCACCCTGAACTGGCCTCATGGCTTCCAACCTCACCTTCCACCCGTCTCCCTCCCTTCCCTGCCTTCTCCCCCACATCCCCCGTCCTCAAACCTGCCAGATTTCACACATCCCTCCAGGCCTTCGCTTTAGCTGTTCCCTCTGCCTGGATCACCCTCCCTCCCGAAGACCCTCCGTCAACTCCCTCGCCACCCTCCGGCCAGGAAACAGCACGTCCGTCCCTCTCCTCCCAGCAGCAGCCTCTCCTGTGCCTGCCCTGGGTTCATTTTTGCTTTTTTTCCCCCCCGCACAGCACTTCCCACATCCTACAGGGCCCCGCAGGAATCACCTGGCAGGGGTTGATTACCTTGTTCTCCTTAGACTGGAAGCTTCGCAACAGCACAGGCCACTCTCTGTGGCAGACTCAGCATCTAGTTAGTGCTTGGCAGGCAGAAGGTTCTCAATACTTACTGTGTTTGTGAACTATGGAAGAAAGGAAGGAGGGAAGAAGAGGAGGAGAGAGGAAGGGAAGAAGGAAAGGAGGGGAGGAAGGAGGGAGGGGAAGGAGAGAAAAGAAGGGAAGAAAGGAAAGATAGGAAAGGGGAGGAAGGACAGAGGGAAGGAGGGAAGGAAAGAATTGAGGGAGGAAGAGAAGGAATGAGGGAAAGAAGGAAGAAAGGGGGAGGGAGGGAAGGAAAGAAAAGGAAAGAGAGAAGGAAGAAAGGGAACAAAAGAAGAAGAAAGGAGAGAGGGAAGAAAGGAAAGAAAGGCGGAAAAGAGAGACGGAGGGATGGGGGATGGAGGGAAGGAACTTATTTCCTCTCTTGGCCCAGCTGTCCCAGCGTCTGTCTGTCACCTGGGCTGTTTCTCCATCTTCCTGGGTGGCCTCCTCTGAAACACTCTAGGCTGGGCACGGTGGCTCACACCTGTAATCCCAACACTTTGGGAGGCCAAGGCGGGCAGATCACCTGAGGTCAGGAGTTCAAAACCAGCCTGGCCAGCATGGCATAACCCTGTCTCCACTAAAAAATACAAAAATTAGCCAGGTGTGGTGACGTGCGCCTATAATCCCAGCTACTCAGGAGGCTCAGGCAGGAGAATCGCTTGAACCCAGGAGGTGGAGGTTACAGTGAGCCAAGATCGCGCCACTTCTCTCCAGCCTGGGCGACAGGGCGAGACTCTGTCTGAAAAAGAAAAACCTTCTCCAGGCAGCTGCCCCTCTGATGATAACCTCGCCCCCAGCCCCATGGTGAAGCACAGGAGATCCTGAATTCCTCTGCCTGACTGCAAAGCGCCAAGTGACCCTGCTCACAGGCTCCTCTGGCCACATTGAGTGTCCTCTGAGTCATGCTATTCTCTGTGCCTGAGTTTTTGCTGCCCCCCCTTTCTCAAACCCCTTCCCTCCCTCTCCAGCTCCATCCCCCCATCCTCTGCCTGCTCAGCACTCACCTCCTGGTCATTTAAGATGTAGCTCAGGCTGTAATCCCAGCACTTTAGGAGGCTGAGGGCAGAGGATCACTTGAGCCCAGGAGCTCGAGGCCAGCCTGGGCAACACAGTGAGACCCCCAACTCCACAAAAAATGTAAAAAGTTAAAAAAAAGATGTAACTTGGGCATCAGCCACCTCCAGGTAGCCTTCCTGACAGTGCCATACCCGGGTGGGCTCAGGCTGCCTCTGTTCTCCGGGCATCAGAGGCTTCCTCCGTGGGGTGCATTGTCCCGGGGCAGATCCTGCAGAAGTCCAGGTACAGGATGATGGTGGTTGGACCAGGACTGAGGGACTGAGACGCTGAGAGGCAGACAGGTTTGGGACACAGCTTGGCAAGGTGAATGGGATTTGCCGAAGGGTGGCTGTCAGGGTGCGGGGAACAATTCTCATCTGTTCCTGTCTTCATCTCTCTTTTTCCCTCTGATCCCAGGAAAAGCAAATGAGGCAGAAGGACTTGCGGGCACGGCTCACCAGCTCCATCCTCAGGAACTCGAAGACCATCAAGTTCCATGGCTGGGAGGGAGCCTTTCTGGACAGAGTCCTGGGCATCCGAGGCCAGGAGCTGGGCGCCTTGCGGACCTCCGGCCTCCTTTTCTCTGTGTCGCTGGTGTCCTTCCAAGTGTCTACATTTCTGGTGACGTCACTCTAGTCTCTATGCTAAGCAGCACTGGGGAAGGAGTGCGGGGGTGGGGGCAGGGTGAGGTAGGTGGAGCTCCCCAGATCCTACCACCCTGTCCGTCAAAACCCACTCATTCTGGATCCTGTTCTCTCAGGGTCCCTGCTGTCTTCTGCAAGAACGAATTAATCACATTATTCTAGCAAAGGTGGCAGTGGCTGATAAAGTCTGCTGAACTCTCAGAGAGAATTCCAGGCTTCTACCGATGTGGGGAGGAGGGTGCAGGAGGGGCGGCAGAGTTAGAATCCTGGGTCTGAGTGTCTTCCCTGATGCTGGCCAGCAGATGTCCATAGCCACCCTGTCACTGGACATGATCCTTGTCCTGCCATTCTGTAATTTATTTCAGATTGCTGTCAGAACAACCTTCCTAAACCACAACTTTAAAAATTTTGATACACAGGCTAGGCACGGTGGCTCATGCCTGTCATCCCAATACTTTGGGAGGCCGAGGTGGGTGGATCACCTGAGGTCAGGAGTTCGAGACCAGCCTGGCCAACATGGCGAAACCCTGTCTCTACTAAAAATACAAAAATTAGCCGGTTGCGGTGGTGGACGCCTGTAATCCCAGCTACCTGGGAGGCTGAGGCAGGAGAATCACTTGAACTCGGGAGGCAGAGGTTGCAGTGAGCCAAGATCATGCCACTGCACTCCAGCCTGGGCCACAGAGCAAGAGTTCATCTCAAAAAAAAAGGACTACAAATGGCACCGACAGTTAGAGCCCTCAAGTACTGCTCCTGCTGCAACTGTAGAGTCATCTTCCAAGGGACTCTAGAATCACAAGTTCCACCATGTCTAGAATAACAACAGTGCTGCCAAGATCAGAATCTCTGCTGTCCCCCAGTGCCTGGAACCTAGAGGCATTAGGTTGTCCCCTAGGCTCTAGTGATGCCTAGAGCCACGGGGCTGCACACTCATCGCCTTTAGCAATGCACTGTGTCTTTGGAAAGACCTTGCGTAGCTTATGACTGAGGAGAGGACGTGTGTTAGCAGCATTGGGAGTGGGATCTATGGAGGGAAGCACATGGCGGGCATGGCAGGTGGGCCACATGGACGCTGCAGGCACCACAGCTTGCCTGGGCTGCCGTATCCATGCTTGCATGTCTCACTGTGGCCCCACGTGTTCCCCCACCCCGGCCCCCCAGGTCGCACTGGTGGTGTTTGCTGTCCACACTCTGGTGGCCGAGAATGCTATGGATGCAGAGAAAGCCTTTGTGACTCTCACGGTTCTCAACATCCTCAACAAGGCCCAGGCGTTCCTGCCCTTCTCCATCCACTCCCTCGTCCAGGTGAGGTGGGTGCAAGGGCTGGAGCCATCCTGGAGAGTGCATGGGCTACACCTGGCTCCAGCTCCCCACGCCTGCCATTTGTAGAGGAGAGGGAAGACAGAGTGGGAGGGGACGGATGGTGTGCAGCTGGAAAAGAGGCAAGTACGGGCAAGAACAGAGGTGGGCAGAAAGTACAGCAAATACTTCTGGAAGGGGTCAGCCTTTGGAGGGCAACGTGCAGACCTCTCCACAAACACCCTCAGAACATGCAGACTCATCCATCTGCTGGGCAATTCCACAAACAAGCAATCATGTCAGCTCCCTTTTTTATACAAGGCAATTCTGTTTCTCTTCCTTTGCTATCTCTAGTCGTTTCAGCACAATGAAAACAAGAAATGGCGGCATACCAGAGCCATCTCTGTTTCTTATTTTATTTATTTATTTACTTGTCTGTTTGTTTGAGATGGAGTCTCACTCTGTCACCCAGGCTAGAGTGCAGTGACATGATCTCGGCTCACTGAAACCTCCACTTTCCGGGTTCAAGTGATTCTCCTGCCTCAGTCAACCAAGTAGCTGGGACTACAGGTGCATGCCACCATGCCCAGCTAATTTTTTTTTATATATATATTTTTAGTAGAGATGAGGTTTCACTATGTTGGCCAGGCTGGTCTTGAACTGCTGAACTCAGGTGATCTGCCCACCTTGGCCTCCCAAAGTGCTCTGATTACAATGAGCCACTGCGTCCAGCCTTATTTGTTTGTTTGTTTGTTGAGACCGGGTCTCACTCTGTCACCCAGGCTGGAGTACAGTGGTGCGATCTCAGCTCACTGCATTCTCAAACTGCTAGACTCATGTGATCCTTCCACCTCCCAGCCTCCTGAGGAGCTGGGACTACAGGCATGGGCCACCGCATACGGCTCATTTTTTAATTTTTTGTAGAGATGAGTTTTGCTATGTTCCCCAGGTCTTGAACTCCTGGCCTGAAGTGATCCTCCTGCACTTGGCCTCCCAAAGTGCTGGGATTACAGGCATGAGCCGCTGCACCTGACTGAATCTCTATTTTAATGACTGGTCGCTTTCTTCCCCAAAGATGGGTTTGTGACTGAGAGAGCGCCCCCAGGTGGACAACATTTGAAATTGTTCCACCTAATGACTTGATAATCTTATTGGAAAAGCTACCATCCTTTTCCCAGATCTTGTCTGCAGAATGGCAGCTGGCTTGTTCCAGTGTCACTGATTAGTAGGAGCGAGGAGGTGGGAGATGGCCACCATCAAGGTCACCACTGGGGTTGCATCGTTTGCCATGAACTGGAAAGCTTTGTCCTCACGCCTCCTGTGCACAGAGCTTATGTGCAGAGAGCTTGGTAGACAGGAAACTGTTACCACACATCTTGAGATACCGACACCCAAAGCCCGAGTTCTTTGCTCTTCTTGCTGGTTGACCTGGGGCTTTGGTTTTCCTAGGCCCGGGTGTCCTTTGACCGCCTGGTCACCTTCCTCTGCCTGGAAGAAGTTGACCCTGGTGCCGTGGACTCAAGTTCCTCTGGAAGCTGTGAGTGCTGAGTCTGGCAGGAGAGGTGTGGGAGGGTTGGGGGGTGGGGGCTGCCCCACCCCATAATGGCAAGCCAGCATCAGCATGGGGGGAGATGGGGGCTGCGCGCAATGGATGGCACGTGCAGATCACGCCATCTGCGTATCACTTGGAAACAGGCACCGTGCTTCTGTTCTTTCTGCTAGCCGTTCAGCGACCACTCATCGAGCACCCACTTGGTGCCATCCTGGGTATACAACAGGGAACACTCTAACACAGTGGTCTCCAAGCTTTTTGGCACCAGGGACGGGTTTTGTGGAAGGCAGTTTTTCCATGGACCAGGGTGAGGCGCGTGGTTTGGGGATGATTCAAACACATTCCAATTGTACACTTTATTATTATTACATTATAATAGAAAATGAAATAATTATACAACTCACCATAATGTAGAATCAGTGGGAGCCCTGAGCTTGTTTTCCTGCAACCAGATGGCCCTATCTGGGGGTGATGGGAGACAGCGCGAGATCATCAGGTATTAGATTCTCATAAGGAACACGCAACCCAGATTCCTCGCATGCACAGTTCGCAAGTGTTCATGCTCCTATGAGAAGCTATTGCTGCCGCTGATTTGGCAGGAGGTGGAGCTCCGGCGGTGATGGGAGTGACGGGGCGTGGCTGTAAACACAGATGACACTCTGCTCACCTGCCCTGCACTCACCTCCTGCTGTATGGTCCAGTTCCTAAGAGGCTGCAGACTGGTACCAGTCTGTGGCTGGGGGTTGGGGACTCCTGCTGTAACAGACCAGGTCCGTGTCCTCATGCAGAAAGTCCAAGGTGATAAGCACGGCAACATTCTGATCAAGCTAGAAAATAGCAACATTTCAAGCACCATTGCACGATGAGACTCACCAAGCTCAAGTTACCCGGGCTTCCCCCTCCACCCCATCCTTTTGTTATCCCACGGGCCATGCCACCCTCCCCCTTGTACTGGAAAACCTGGGCAAACTGTGTACCTGGAAAACACCCACACCGTGGTTAGAAGCCTAGCCTGTGGCATTGACCTGCCCAGGTCCAAATCCCAGCCCCAGCACTGACTAGCTGGGTGATCCTGACAAGTAGATCGTCTCTCTGAGCCTCAGTGTTCCCATCTCCAAAATGGGCATGTTAATCATCGTAGCAGCTAATTGTGAGGATGGATTTAATTGATCTGGGCTAAGCCATGAGAGCTTTGATTTTTAGAAAATCTTTCAGGCGATTCTAACTATGTGTTAAGGATCAAGAACCACTAATCTAATTATACTTGTTGTCACAGTGAAATCATCATCATCATCATAATTTTTTTTTTTTTTTTTTTTTTTTTTTTTTGAGACGGAGTCTCGCTCTGTCATCCAGGCTGGAGTGCAGTGGCGCGATCTCAGCTCACTGCAACCTCCGCCTCCTGGGTTCAAGTGATTCTCCTGCCTCAGCCTCTCAAGTAGCTGTGATTACAGGTGCCCGCCACCACGCCTGGCTAATTTTTGTATTTTTTGCTAGAGACAGGGTTTTGCTATGTTGGCCAGGCTGGTCTTGAACTCCTGACCTCAAGTGATCCCCCCGACCTCTGCTTCCCAAAGTGCTGGGATTACAGGCATGAGATACTGTGCCGGCCACAGTGAAATTGATAACACCCCCTTCACTCTGGGAAGGCTGGGGTTCGATGATAATTTATGTCAGAAGTCCATTAACTTTTTCCATCAATGACCAGATTGTGCATATTTTAGGCTTGGGGGTCACACAGTCTCTGTCACAATTACTCAAAGCATGAAATATAGAAATGAATGGATGTGGCTGTGTTCCAATAAAACTTTATTCATAAGAATAGGCAGCAGGCAGGATTTGGTCTCCGGGCCACAGTTTGCCTCCCCCTGCATTATATAGCCATGGGACACGGAGAGAACAAGAACCCTGCAGGGTCACACACAAGTCAGTGAGTAGCAGGAAAATTTGTTCGGTGGGAGAGATTTCTTCCTGCAGCCTCTGCCCCTGGCGGGGGTAGTGCCTGGGGGCCTCTCCGACGCAGAGGCCAGCCAGGTCAGGGGTCTCCTGTAACTGGCCTCTTGTGCCCCGCAGCTGCTGGGAAGGATTGCATCACCATACGCAATGCCACCTTCACTTGGTCCCAGGAGAGCCCTCCCTGCCTCCACAGGTACAGAACGACACCCGTGGTAACCGGCCTCATGATTTCAGGGAGAAGATGCGTGGGGCTCCTGCCGCCTCCCACCTGAGAGGTGGTGCAGGTTTCCAGCCTGGGACTGGAGGGTGGGTTAGGCTGGGCTGGGGCTCTGCCAGGGAGGTTCCCAGGGTGCATCTATACCTCCTGCAGGTGGGGACCTGCACAGCATAGACCAGTATCTCCTGCAGATGGGGACCAGTGCATCTGAATCTCCCCTATCATGGGGAGACACCCCTCTGCTCCCAGGCTGACCAAGACGATGCCATGGGAGGGCTGGCCAAGAGGAGCCCCAAGGTTCAGCCCCATCAACTGTGCTCACTTCTATGCCTTCTATATCAGTCTGAGGCCATGATCACCTACAGCCCCCAACTCATGGCTTGGTCTGTGTGGCTAAAAGTCTCAGCCAGCCCTGAAACTCCCTGAGAAGGAAGGAATATGCCCTGGGCAGTGTTCATATTGGTTGTCATTCACTCCCTTCATCGGTAGAGCGCTACCTATCAGCTGCGCTCTGTTCTAGGTATTGGGGATAGGGTGAAGGAAACAGACAAGGACCCTGCTCTCTTGGGGTGACATGCTGATAGAGGTGAGGCCCAAACAGGAAGCCAGAGCAAGGGGACAGAGCTGATAGAGGTGAGGCCCAAACAGGAAGCCAGAGCAAGGGGACAGAGCACGATGCCATGTCTGAGAGGGAAGGCTTGGCATTCAAGCCGAGATCATAAGTAAGTGAGGTCTGGGAGAAGAGCTGTCTTTTTTTTTTTTTTTTTTTTTTTTGAAACAGAGTCTTGCTCTGTCACACAGGCTGGAGCGCAATGGCATGATCTCGGTTCACTGCAACCTCCACCTTCCGGGTTCAAGCAATTCTCCTGCCTCAGCCTCCCGAGTAGCTGGGATTACAGGCGCATGCTACCACACCCAGCTAATTTTTGTATTTTTAGTAGAGATGGGTTTTACCATGTTGGTCAGGCTGGTCTCCAACTCCTGACCTCAAGTGATCCACCTGCCTCAGTTCCCAAAGGACTAGGATTACAAGCATGAGCCACTGTGCCTGGCCTGGGAGAAGAGCCTTCTAGGTGGAGGGAATGGTGTTTGCAAAGGTCCTGGGGCAGGAGTGTGCCTGGACCTGGATTTCTCAGCCTCAGCACGGTTGATACTTTGGGCTGAAACTTCTTTGCTGGGGGCTGTCCTGTGCATTGTGGGATATTTAGCAGACCCCCAGTCTCTACCCACTAGATGCCAGCAGCACCCTCTACCAGTTGTGACATCCAAAAATATCTCTAGATCTTGCCAAATGACTTCTGAGGGATGCAGTCACCCCCAGGTGAGAACCACTGACCTACTGTGTCCAAGAAACAGCAAGGAGATCAGCATGGTCTAGGCCGAGCAGCTGAGGCACAGAGCGGCAGGAGGTGGGAGACGTCGTTCATGATTGTCAGGACTTTGGCCTTGACCCTCAGTGAAATGGGAGTGCCGGCGGGTTTAGCTGGGAAGTGCCATGATCTGACTTGGGTTTTAACAGGTCCCTCTGGTCACTGGGTGGAGGATGGGCTGCGGACACGGACAGGAGTGGGGTGGGACCAAGAGCAAGGGGAGGGAGGCAGGGAAGAGCCTATTTATTACAACAGCCAAAGCAGGAGGCCAGGCTGGTGAAACCCTCAGGCTATAGTCAATTCTGTGTGTGTTTGAATGTGGGTTGACATGCAGGCGTGTGTGTGCATGGTGTGCATGTGTGTGCATGGTGTGCCTGTGTGTGCATGGTGTGCATGTGTGCACACCTGTATGTGTGTGAGCATGGATTGATTGGGTATGTGCATAGACTTGTGTGTGTGTGTGTGGATGTGTGCCCACATTGTGTGTGTTGCTGTGCACGCTAGCATGCTTGTCTGAGTGTGCAAATGTGCATGCATGTGTGCACGCTTTGTGTGCGTGTGTGCGTGTGTACATGCAGAGATGTGCACAGGATGGTTGCTCGAATAGCTAGACAAGGACTGGGAAAAGGAACGGTCCCCACAGGTCCTCTTGGAGACTCTCAGAGCAGGAAATCCCGGCTCCATCTGGGCCTCATCCTTCCTCACAGAGGCGGGTCGAACCCTAACCAAGGTCATGTCATGTCTCCCCTCTTGTGTGGCCAGAATAAACCTCACCGTGCCCCAGGGCTGTCTGCTGGCTGTTGTCGGTCCAGTGGGGGCAGGGAAGTCCTCCCTGCTGTCCGCCCTCCTTGGGGAGCTGTCAAAGGTAGACGGATTCATGAGCATCAAGGTGAGGCCACCCCCCACCTGTCTGCTAGGATGTCCCCGTCCTGAAAGTCCCCCTTCCTTGCTGCCTTCCCATCCCTCCCCATTCCAGCCAAGCTCATTTTCACCGATTCTCTCCACCTCCCACCCACCACCGAGAGCCCAGCTCCCGCCGCTCCTCAAAACCTATCCCACCTCTGTCCCCATCATCCTCCTGTGACCAAAGTAAGTTGTGTTTTAGGGTGCTGTGGCCTACGTGCCCCAGGAGGCCTGGGTGCAGAACGCCTCCGTGGTGGAGAATGTGTGCTTCGGGCAGGAGCTGGAGCCAGCCTGGCTGGAGAGAGTTCTGGAAGCCTGCGCCCTGCGGCCGGATGTGGACAGCTTCCCCGAGGGAGTCCACACTTCAATCGGGGAGCAGGTGAGAGTTTCGGGGTCTTTTTGTGACAGGGAAACATTGCAGTTGGGGGTCATTTGGGTTCCTGACTCCTCGTGGGCAGTATGATGGAGAAATGGGGGGAGCGGTCAGGGAAGTGGGGGAGAAAAAGGGCTCAGCTCAGGATCAAGCACATAGTAGGGCTCAATACATAATCATGAATCGATAAGTAGAAATAGACACAAAGAGAGAGGCAGGGAATTGTGCCAGGGATCGGTGGTGAGGGGCTCTCTGACAGCTGAGAGGGAGAAGACCTAGACTCCTGTCTTACTCGGCCCTGCCTTGCTGGGTGACGTTGGTCTAACTGCTTCCCCTCTCTGGGCCTCACCAAAGGACCTGGACAAAGAAGTCCAAGAAACAGGATATATGCATCTGGAGCTATGGATTGGGCAGGGGTTGGCAAACTGTGACCCCCAGCCAAATCCAGCCCACCACTTGTGGTGTTTTGTCTTGTTTTGTTTTGGAGTTGGAGTCTCGCTCTGTTGCGCAGGCTAGAGTGCAGTGCTGCAGTCTCGGCTCACTGCAACTCCACCTCCACGTTCAAGCAATTCTCGCACCTCAGCCTACTGAGTAGCTGGGATTACAGGTGTATGCCGCCACACCTGGCTAATTTTTGTATCTGTAGTAGAGACAGGGTTTCACCATGTTGGCCAGGCTGGTCTCGAACTCCGGACCTCAGGTGATCTCCCCATTTACCTCACAGTCAAAGCCCAAGTCGTGATCATCTCTAGCGAGGTCCCTGTGACCTGGCTCTGGTATCCATTAGCCCCATCTTCCATCATCATCTCCCAACTTTACTCCAGCCACCTGAGTCTCTGTGATATTTCCTGACCCCAGGGCCTTTGCACCTGCTGTTCCCTCTGCTGGAAAGCTCTTCCCAGGTGTTCCCAGGGTTCATCCCTCTCTTCTATCACCTTCACAGAGAGGCCTTTTCTGACTACCTTATCTACCACCACAGCAACCCTGCTAATGCTAGTGTACCCTACACCTGCACCTGCTTTTTCCTTTTTTTTTTTTTTTTTTTTTTTTTCCTGAGATGGAGTCTCACTCTGTTGCCCAGGCTGGAGTGCAGTGGCGCAATCTCAGTTCACTGCACCCTCCACCTCCTGAGTTCAAGCAATCCTCGCACCTCAGCCTCATGAGTAGCTAGGATTACAGGCATGTGCCACCATGCCTGGCTAATTTTTTTTTTTTTTTTTTTTTTTAGTAGAGATGGGGTTTCACCATGTTGGCCAGGCTGGTCTCGAACTCCTAACCTCAAGGGATCCACCTACCTCAGCCTCCCAAAGTGCTGGGATTACAGGCGTGAGCCACCACATCTAGCTCCACCTGCTTTAGTATTTATTCCTCATAGCACTTTCTATCTGATGTTACTTGTTTACGGATTGCCTGTCTCTCCCCCCTTCATTAGAATGATGGATCCATTAAGAGAGCAGCAACTTTGTTTTGCTCACTGCTGTTTCTCCAGAACCTAGAACCCTACTGGGTATATGATAACCAGGCAGTAGTTATTAGTGGAATGAATGAATATAAGAATGAATGAATGGCTGGGTGCAGTGGCTCATGCCTGTAATCCCAGCACTTTGGGAGGCCGAGGCGGGTGGATTGCTTGAGGTCAGGAGTTCGAGACCAGCCTGGCCAACATGGTGAAACCCTGTCTCTACTAAAAGTACAAAAATTAGCCAGGCATGGTGGCACAGCTGTAATCTCAGCTACTTGGGAGGCTGAGGTAGGAGAATCACTTGAACCCAGGAGGTGGAAGTTGCAGTGAGCCGAGGTCAAGCCATTGCACTCCAGCCTGGGCGACAGAGTGGAACTCCGTCTCAAAAATAAATAAAAATAATTTTTAAAAAAATGAATGAAAGACAAGAAGACCTAGATAGAATGAATAAGTTATAGTAATCCATAGTGCACATGGGAAATTATAGTTAATGATCATTTATTTGTGTATTTCAAGATAGCTAGAAGAGAAGGATTGTTGTGTTCACAATACAAAAGATAAATATTTGAGGTGATGACGATTTCAGTTACCCTGATTTGACCATTACATATTGTCTACAGCAGGGGTCCCCAATCTGCCTGGCCATGGATCAGCACCAGTCTGTGGCCTGTTAGGAACTGGGCAGGCAGCACAGCAGGAGGTGGACAGAGGGCAGGCAAATGAAGTTTCACCTGTATTTATAGCCACTCCTTATTGTTCGCATCACCGCCTGAACTCTGCCTCCTGTTAGATCAGTGGTAACATTAGATTCTCACAGGAGCACAAACCTTACTGTAACCTGCACATGTGAGGGATCTAGGCTGTGTGCTCCTTATGAGAATCTAATGCCTGATGATCCATCACTACCTCCCATCTCCCCCAGAAGGGACCATCTAGTTTCAGGAAAATAAGCTCAGGGCTCCCACTGATTCTACATGATGATGAGTTGTGTATTTCATTATACATTACAATGTAATAATAATACAAGTAGGCTGGGCGCACTGGCTCACGCCTGTAATCCCAGCACTTTGGGAGGCCGAGGCATAGTGGATCACCTGAGATCAGGAGTTGGAGACCAGCCTGGCCAACATGGTGAAATCCCGTCCCTACTAAAAATACAGAAACTAGCCAGGCATGGTGGTGGGTGCCTGTAATTCCAGCTACTCAGGAGGCTGAGGCAGGAGAATCGCTTGAACCCAGGAGGCAGGGGTTGCAGTGAGCCAAGATCACGCCATTGCACTCTAGCCTGTGTGACAAGAGCAAACTCCATCTTGAAAATAATAATAGTAATAATAATAATAGAAGTAAAGTGCACAGTAAATGTAATGTGCTTGAATCACCCTGAAACCATCCCCCAGACCATCCCCCTGCCCCCAGGTCCATGGTAAAATTGTCTTCTACAAAATCAGCCCCTGGTGCCAAAAAGGGTGGAGACCACTGTCCTATAGGTATCAAAATATCACTTGTGCCCCTCAAAGAGTTTCAACTATTACATATCAATAAAAGCTTAAATAGAACAATTAAAATTTAAAATAAAAAAGTAGGACTGAAAAGCTACCACTGGATGAGGGAATAGGGAAATGAATGGTGTCCTCAGTGAAGGTGGTCTCAATGGAGACGGGGAAACAGAAGTTGGACTCAAAGGGATACCGAGAGTGAGAAGGAGGAGACAGAGTGGATTGGGAAGTGTGGGTAACTCCTCCAGGAAGCATGCCGGGGAAGGGGAGAAGTGAGGTCAGGTAAGGATGGAGGCATTGTCGGCTTGAGAGCGAGTGCCTTTGATGCTGGCCGTGTCCCCAGGTAATAGGCATGTGGAGCTGCACCTCACCCTGACGGGCAGGTGTGCCCTGACCTGCGCCAGCCTGGGCACCCCAGTTTCACCCTATAGATGCTGACTCAGGCCACTGTTCCTTTTGTGGCCACAGGGCATGAATCTCTCTGGAGGCCAGAAGCAGCGGCTGAGCCTGGCCCGGGCTGTGTACAGAAAGGCAGCTGTATACCTGCTGGATGACCCCCTGGCAGCCCTGGATGCCCACGTTGGCCAGCATGTCTTCAACCAGGTCATCGGACCTGGTGGGCTACTCCAGGGAACAGTAAGTTTGGGAACATGTGTCAGAGGGCACAAGGCAAAGGCAGAGGAAGCCCTTAGCATCCAGTCCTAACCCGAATTTATCTCACCTCCCCCTTCCACCTGAGTCCAATTTTCCTCTTCGTCTTGGTCAGCTTTTGCTGTGACAATGCTGTGTAACAAACAACCCCCAGATCCCAGCAGCTTACAACAGCAGGGGTTTCTTGCTCATGGATCTGTGGTTTAACTACTACAACTTTGCCTTGGATGACTGGCCAGGGTCAGATGGACTCCCTGTCTTCTTGTTTTGAGACACAGGCTAAAGGAGTCCCCTCTGTTTCTCTATTTGGACATGCTGTTCATAAGAAAGGTGGCAGGAGCACAAGAAGGGGAGCTGTCCCCACTCTGAGTCTGGGGACAACACCCCCACCCCAACCCCCAGCTCAGAAGGCTGGCCAAGCACATATGTGTAATTTTCTTCCTTCCTTCCTTCCTTCCTTCCTTCCTTCCTTCCTTCCTTCCTTCCTTCCTTCCTTCCTTCCTTCCTTTCTTTCTTCCTTCCTTCCTTCCTTCCTCTTTCTCTCTTTCTCTCTCTCTCTTTCTTTTCTTTTCTTTTCTTTCTTTCTTTCTTTCTTTCTTTCTTTCTTTCTTTCTTTCTTTCTTTCTTTCTTTCTTTTCTTTCTTTCTTTCTCTCTCTCTCTCTCTCTCTCTCTCTCTCTCTCTCTGTCTCTCCTTTTCCTTTCCTTTCCTTTCCTTTCCTTTCCTTTCCTTTCCTTTCCTTTTCTTTCTCTCCTTTCTTGACAGAGTCTTGCTCTGTCACCCAGGATGGAGTGCAGTGGTCCAGTCTCGCCTCACTGCAACCTCCAGCTCCCAGGTTCAAGTGCTTCTCTTGCCTCAGCCTCCAAAGTAGCTGGGAATACAGGTGTGCACCACCACCTAGCTAATTTTTATATTTTTAGTAGATACAGGGCTTAGGTCTGTCAGCCAGCCTGGTCTCGAACTCCTGGCCTAAAGTGATCCACCTGCTTTGGCTTCCCAAAGTGTCGGGATTACAGGCATGAGCCACTGTGCCTAGCCACATGTGTGTAACTTCTACCCCTTCCCTGCCCAGACACGGATTCTCGTGACCCACGCACTCCACATCCTGCCCCAGGCTGACTGGATTGTGGTGCTGGCAGATGGGGCCATCGCAGAGATGGGTTCCTACCAGGAGCTTCTGCAGAGGAAGGGGGCCCTCATGGGTCTTCTGGATCAAGCCAGACAGCCAGGAGATACAGGAGAAGGAGGTACTAGGTGGGCTTTGCTGATTCTCCATGCCTGGCTCCTGCCATCCTTGGGGAAAAAGGCTCAAAGGGTCCTACTGGCATGAATGGAGTGCTCTGGTCATACTCTCCCTGCGGGCCTAGGCCTGGAAGCAGACAGCTCTCCCAGTAGGTCACCTCTCTCCAGGAATAGCCAATAACACCATCTATGTGCCGGGGGATGTGCTAAGTACTTCCGTAAAAATACACTATTTCATTTGATGCTCACAGTACCCCCAGAGGCATGTGAAGTTATTGCTGTCGTTTTACAGATGAGCCAACTGAGGCAAAGAGAGTGAAATCACTTGCCCAAGGTCACAAGATTAGAACTCGAATGTGTCCAACTCTGAAGTCTATGCTTGCAGTTGCTATGGAGACAGCCCAAGAAGGACTTTGATGCCTAGAAAGCTACACCATGCTAGCTAGAGTTTCTAATAATCCAAAGAACATAGAATGTGCTGGATACATGACAAGTTTCTGGAAGTAAAGTTGCCAAGCCAAGCTCACCTGCAATGACTGAAAAGTAGCAACCAACAGCACATCACATACGTTAGCTCATTTAATCAACATAATGCCCCTGTGAGGCTGGTACTAGAATCATTTCCATTTCACAGATGAGGAAACTGAGGCCCAGAAGTTAAGGAACTAGTCCCAGGTTACATGGCTTATAAGTGGCAGCACTGGGATTTGAACCCAAACAACTTGATTCCAGAGAATGTGTTTTTTAATCATTACACTTTATACTATCCCTTCATGACAAAGCAAGGACTCACACCCAGGTCTCTGTCAATCTCAGGCTTTCTTCTTCTGAGAACATCTGCTTAGCACTGGCCCACCCTGGTAAAAACCTTAAGTGTTGATTCACAGTGTCACAGTCCTGAAGCTCGAAGATAGAACTTGCCTGCTTGTATTGGTTAGCTTTTGCTGTGATCATGCTGTGTAACAAATAGCCCCCCAAATCTTAGCAGCTTACAGTAGCAGTTATTTCTTGCTTACTGGCCTGTGGTTAAACTACTACAGATCTGCTTTCAGTGACTCACCACACCTGGGGGATAGTGGTGGGGAGATGTCCTTCCTAGGGGAGATGGAACCTGAGGGTAGGTGAGAACCAGAAAAGAGCATTCCAGACACAAGGAACTGCCTGAGCAAAGCTGTTGGGAGAAACAGAGATAACTTGACTTTGTACAGTGTTAAATGCTGTTTTTTCCAACCTTAGGTTGATAGCAGGTGCTCAGTTATATTCACTGATTGAAGAAACGAATGTGAGTGAATGCCTGAAGGATGTTCCTGGAAGAACTCAGAGTGGGGTGTTGAGAGAGGTTGCTGGAGAGGTGGCAGGAGCCAGATCAGGGGAAATGGATGGTCAGAGCAGTTAAGGCCACATAGTCAGTGGGTATCAAAGTGGGTATCTGGGCCGTGTTGTGTGACAGGACTCTCTTGACCTTGCAGAAACAGAACCTGGAACCAGCACCAAGGACCCCAGAGGCTCCTCTGCAGGCAGGAGGCCCGAGCTTAGACCCGAGAGGTGAGTCCACCATGGTGCCACACTCAGAAGGGCACAGGCTGAAGCTGAAGTAGTAGATGAAGGAACCACCCGCATCTCAGGCAGTTAGGGGGACAACAAAAACCATTATGGATACAGAACCTGCCGAAGTCCCCCCATGGTGCCCTGCTGAGGGATAATTTACCAAAATTGGTCCAGTTAGCCAAGATGATTAGGTCCCCAGAGGGCCAGTTCATGGAATGAACAATACGCCTTCCAGTGTGATGGGTGTTTTCAAGTGGGCCGAGGCCAGCTTGCTGGAGTTGTCGCAGTGCTGCAATAGGGCAGGACTGGTTCCTCCCCATAGCTGTAAACCACCATGCCAGGCCTGGTCACCTATGCTTTGACCGGTTGGCTATGCACAGGGTTTGGGTCTGTATGCACAGCATCACTTGACGCTGGCCAGAACACGTGGGCAAGGGGCCAGGAGGAGGCCTGCGGTCCCCTCTTCTCTCAGCTCCCTCCAGCCGGGACACAGCTGGGCTCATTGTGGGGCTGTCTGCAGGAGAAGGACCTGCTGCCTGATACTCTCCCCTCTTAATGAGAGGGGTCTTGGGAAGCAGAACAACAGGCCACTGGTACCAGGTGGCCCGAGCTTAAGTGCCTGCTATACAGGGGTGGGGGGCGGCAGCGATCTTGAGGGGCCTGCGTCCCTGGGGACCACAGGGGCTGATCCCCATCCCAGCTAGCCACCCTAAGGGCACTTCTCAGTCACACGCACACTGAGCAATCTCAACATCTTCACAGCGCACAAGAGTCTGAAGTAAGATCAGATGGATAGCTAGTCACGTTAAAAGAAAACCAGTAGACACATTAAGGCTGGGCACGGTGGCTCACACCTGTAAATCCCAGCACTTTGGGAGGCCGAAGCAGGTGGATCACTTGAGGTCAGGAGTTCGAGACCACCCTGGCCAACATGGTGAAACCCTGTCTCTACTAAAAATAAAAAATTTTAAAAAATTAAAAATTTTTTAAAAGCCGGTGTGGTGGCGTGTGTCTGTAGTCCCAGCTACTCAGGAGGCTGAAGCAGGAGAATCGCTTGAACCCAGGAGGCAGAGGTTGCAGTGTGCCGAGATTGTGCCAAATTAACCTCTAGCAAATTTAATGTGTCTGAGGCTTTTTGTTTTTTGGGGTTGTTTTTTGAGACGGAATCTTGCTCTGTCGCCCAGGCTGGAGTGCAATGGTACAATCTCGGCTCACTGCAATCCCTGCCTCCCAGGTTCAAGTGATTCTTATGCCTCAGTCTCTTGAGTAGCTGGGATTACAGGCACATGCCATCAGGCCCAGCTAATTTTTGTATTTTTAGTAGAGACAGGGTGTTGCCGTGTTGTCCAGGCTGGTCTCAAACTCCTGACCTCAGGTGATCCACCTGCCTCAGCCTCCCAAAGTGCTGGGATTACAGGCGTGAGCCACTGCACCTGGCTGAAAGATGTTAATTGAGCAAAGAATGATCTGCACATCAGGCAGCCCCTGAACCAGAATATGTCCAGAGAGGCTCTGGAACAGCCACGGGGTCAAAGATTAATGGACAGAAAAAGGAAGGTGAAGGACAGAAAACGGAAGTGAGGTACAGAAACAGCCAGATTGGTTACAGCTCAGCGTCTGCTTTATTTGAACATGGTTTGCACCGTTGGCTGCCTTTGATTGGCTGAAACTCAGTGATTGACATAGGAGTAGGTTGCAGTCTGTTTGAGTCCAGTTAGGTTACAGTTCACTATGTACAGGAAAACCTTTAGGCCAAAGTTAAAATATGTAAGGAGGCAGCTTTGCGCTAAACTTAATTTAATAGTAGGTAGGTAGACACGTATATGTAGATATACATATATGTAGATGAATGGATCAATGGATGGATGGATAGATAATATTCCTATTTTTACAGCTGAGGAAACTGAGGTGCAGAGGTTAAGTCAGCCCACTTAACCACAGATAAAACATTCAAAAAGTCTTTAGCATCTGAATTGTTCATAATTTATATTCTGCCAGTTGGACTGACAAATCTGATGTTAAACAGTAGGAGCAAAACAATTGTACCAAAGCTTAAGCCAAAATAAAAATTCTGAGAACAGGCTGGGCATGGCAGCTCATGCCTGTAATCCCAGCACTTTAGGAGGCTGAGGTGGGCGGATTGCTTGAGCTCAGGAGTTTGAGACCAACCTGGGCAATGTAGCAAGACCCTGTCTCAAAAAAAAAAAAAAAAAAGAAAAGAAAATTCTGAGAACAGAGTTCCAATGGTGGGCAAGTTAAGTTCATCCTGTGAACTGGCATCAGAAGTACGGGCTTGCTTGACCCTGGGATAATAGATGGCATTTAGCTGGGTACCACACAGAGAGAAGGGAAGTGTGATACCTGGTCAGTATTTTGTTAGATAAATGAATGAATGAATGAATGAATGAATGAATGAATGAATGAATGAGTAGAGAGGGTATCCAGAGCTCAGTGGCTGTCAGTGGGCCTGAGGGTTGGGCACATACACCCCACCACTGGGAGAGACACTGACTTTGTCTTCATTTCCTCTAAATGACAGGTCCATCAAGTCAGTCCCTGAGGACTGTACCACTTCAGAAGCCCGGACAGAGGTTCCTCTAGATGACCCTGACAGGGCAGGATGGCCCACAGGAAAGGACAGCACGCAGTATGGCAGGGTAACCACCAGCTTCACCTACACCTCCCCACCCACTGCTGCCGCCTCCAGGGGCCCAAGTTCTCCCAACCGATGTAGCGCTTGCAGAGGGGCGGCAGTCATACTCACCTTTCTTGAGCACCTACTATGTGCCAGTAGCATTCTAGACCTTCATTTTCTTAATCCTCACAACTGCCCTAAAAATAGATATGATATGCTGAACTTCCTATATTATGTTCCTTCTTGTCATTCAGTTATCAGATTAAATATCATCTCCAGCCTCCCAGACTAAAAAAAAAAAAGGTATGATAGCTCTATTTCAGACGTAAAGAAACTGAAGTCTTTTAAAATGTATTTTATTTTGCTTTTGAGAAAGTGGCTCTCTCACTCACCCAGGCTGGACTGCAATGATGTAATCATAGCTCACTGCATCCTCGACCTCCTGGGCTCAAGCAATCCTCCTACCTCAGTCTCCCAAGTAGCTGGGACTACAAGCATGTGCCACCATGCCCAGCTAGTGTTTGTATTTTTAATAGAGATGGGGTTTTGCTATGTTGCCCAGGTTGGTCTCGAACTCCTGGGCTCAAGTGATCCTCTGGCCTCTGCCTCCCAAAGTGCAGGGGCTACAGGTGTGAGCCACTGTGCCTGGCCAAGAAACTGAAGTCTTAAAGAGTTAAGAGACTTGTCTGTGTTTTCATAGCTAGCCTGGGGCTCAACCTGGGACTCAAATCTGGGACCCAAGTCTAGGCCAGTCTGAGTCTGAAGTTTGTACTGTTTCTCCTCTTCTATACTGCTGTGTATCTCCACCCCCCTACTTATCCACCATCATCCACCTAGATGATCATCCACCCACCCACCCATCCATCCCACCCGCTCATTTATCCATCCCATTCATTCACCTACCTACTCATCCATCCATCCCACCCACTCATTCATCCATACCACACACTCGTTTATCCATCCCACCCACTCATTTATCTGTCCATCCCATCCACTCACCCACCTACGCATTTATCCATCCCATTCACTTACCCATCCATCTATCCCACCTAACAATACAACAATTCCCTCACCTATGCATTTGTCTGTTCACCTGTTCATCCATTCATTGATCTTTCCATCCATTCATCCACTCATTCATTCACACACCTACCTACCTACCCACCCACTCATTTATTCACCCACCTACCCTCTCTTCCATCCAGCAAACATGTACACGGTACCCACTGTGTGCCAGGCTAAGTCTGGTGGAGATTAGATGCTAGTGAAGATAAATGGAGAGCAAATAATTATGCTAATAAGCAAGCTATATCCAATAGCAATAAGTGCTATAAATAAGAATGGGCGCAGTGGCTCATGCCTGTAATCCCAACACTTTTGGAGGCTGAGGCAGGTGGATTGCTTGAGACCAGGAGTTCGAGGCTGCAGTGAGCTATGATCATGTCACGGCAATCCAGCCTGGGTGACAGAGTGAGACCCTGCCAAGGAGACCAACTGAGGGTCATGGTAGGTATGGATAGGATGCTCTGAGAAGTGCCATTTGAGCTTCCCCGAAGAACATGTGAAGGAACCAGTCATACAAAGGTCAGGAGAAAGAGCGCTCCAGGCAAAGGGAGCAGCAGGTACAATGGCTCCGAGGTGGGAAGTAGCTTAGGGTGCCAGAGAAAGGGGTCCCATGAGGCTGGCAGGCAGTGAGTGGGGGCAAGATAAGAAGCTTGGAATTTATTTTTATTTTTATTTTTGAGACGGAGTTTCACTCTTGTCGCCCAGGCAGGAGTGTAATGGTGCAATCTCGGCTCACTGCAACCTCTGTCTCCCAGGTTCAAGTGATTCTCCTGCAGCTTCCCAAGTATCTGGGATTACAGGCGCCCGCCACCACAACTGGCTAATTTTTGTATTTTTAGTAGAGACAGGGTTTCACCGTGTTGGTCCAGGCTGGTCTCAAATTCCTGAGCTCAGGTGACCCACCCGCCTCGGCCTCCCAAAGTGCTTACAGGTATGAGGCACCTCGCCTGGCTGGAATTTCTTCTAAGAGCAAGAGATAGCCGTGGATAGGCCAGCAACAAGATACAATTAGATTAATGTTTTCAATAGTCCTGTCTGGCTGCAGCTGTGCAGAGAACTTCAGATTTGTAGGAGCAGGACGTTAAGCCAGTGGCTGACCCATTCTGTGCCTCAGTTTCCTTATCTGTGAAATTGAGGTTATTATGAGCAGAGACACATGCCTGACCCATGGTGGGTATTCAAGAAAACCCTTCTGGCTGGGTGTGGTGGCTCACACCTGTAATCCAAGCACTTTGGGAGGCCCAGGAGGGAGGATCGCTTGAGGCCAGGAGTTTGAGACCAGCCTGGGCAACATAGCGAGACTCCATCTCTTTAAAACTATGAACATTAACAAAGCATGGTGGTACAAAACTATAGTCCTGACTACTCGGGAGGCTGAGGCAGGGGGATTACTTAAGCCTGGAGTTCAAGGCTGCAGTGAGACATGATTGCGCCGGTGTACTCCAGCCTGGGTGACATGGGTGACAGAGTGCAAGACCCTGTCCTCAAAAAAATAAATAAAGAAGATAAAGAAAAACAAAAGAAAAAATATTAATATGAGCTCACTGGGGATTGTGTAGGAGATGGGGGTTCTAAGGCTGGCTGGGGCCTGTCTGTGGGAGGCACGGCGGGAGAACCTGTGAGGTCTGTGTGGCGTTTCCATCTGCCCATGGGCATGTTTTCTGGGAGCCTCGCCTGGCCCTGCCTCAACTCACCCCTCCCGCTGGGGGCTCTCTCTGCCTCCCTCTCCCTCATGTGTGCTACAGGTGAAGGCCACAGTGCACCTGGCCTACCTGCGTGCGGTGGGCACCCCCCTCTGCCTCTATGCACTCTTCCTCTTCCTCTGCCAGCAAGTGGCGTCCTTCTGCCGGGGTTACTGGCTGAGCCTGTGGGCGGACGACCCCACAGTGGGTGGGCAGCAGACGCAGGCAGCCCTGCGTGGTGGGATCTTCGGGCTCCTCGGCTGTCTCCAAGGTATGCCTCACCTGCCCTCCTCATCCCCGTCCTCCCAGCTCCCCCGAGGGGTGCTCAGGGCTCCTTTTCCTCACCCCTCCCTGGGTCACCCTGTGCCCCCTGGAACAACTGTGCAAAATGTCTGGGGGCCAGGCAAAGATCTCTGTCCTTCAGATGAGGCTGGAGGGAATGGGGAGGACAGGGCACATCCCTCCTTTTCTGGAAGCTTCAGAACTTCTCCCAGTTCCTCCCCGCTAGCGGAAGGCAGCTCCAAGGCCTGCGTGCTGGTGACTTTCAGTGCCTGCCCCCAAACCTCCAGACAGAACCAGACCCTCCCTAACAGAGGCATTACCGCCGTCACTCCATCTTCTCCTTATTAAAGATGGAAATACGGCCGGGCGCAGTGGCTCACGCCTGTAATCCCAGCACTTTGGGAGGCCAAGGCAGGTGGATCATGAGGTCAGGAGATCGAGACCATCCTGGCTCACACGGTGAAACCCTGTCTCTACTAAAAGATACAAAAAATTAGCCAGGCGAGGTGGCGGGCACCTGTAGTCCCAGCTACTCGGGAGGCTGAGGCAGGAGAATGGCGTGAACCCAGGAGATGGAGCTTGTAGTGAGCCACGACCGCGCCACTGCACTCCAGCCTGGGAGACAGAGCGAGACTCCATCTCAAAAAAATAAAATAAATAAAAAAATAAAATAAAATAGATGGAACTACTTCTTGAAATAATTGTAGATTCACATGCAGTTCTAGGAAATAAGGCGGCCAGCTACCTTGTATGGTCTGCCCAGTTTCTCCCAGTGGTGACATTTTGCAAAACAATAGTAAAGTATCACAAAGGATACTGACACCCATCAATCCATGGATCTCATTTATTTATTTATTTGTTTGTTTATTTAATTTATTTTGAGACAGAGTCTTGCTCTGTCGCCCAGGCTAGAGTGTAGTGCTGCAGTCTCAGCTCACTGCAACCCCCATCTCCCAGGTTCAAGCAGTTCTCCTGCCTCAGCTTCCCAAGTAGCTGGAAGCTGGGATTGTAAGTGTGCAGCCTGCTTAATTTTTGTATTTTTGGTAGAGATGGCGTTTCACCATGTTGGCCAAGCTGGTCTCGAACTCCTGACCTCAAATGATCTGCCCGCCTCGCCCTCCCAAAGTGTTGGGATTACAGTTAGGTGTGAACCCCCGTGCCCGGCCCTATGGGCCTCACTGTGATTTCCCCAGTTTTGATTGCACATAGGTGTGCGCATGTTTGCCTCTGTGCAGTTGTGTCCCTGTTCAGGCTCTCGCATCCATCACAATGGTTAATGGTTGAGACACTGAACAATCCCCTCACCTCAAGGCACTCTCGTGTTGCCCTTTTGCAACCACACCCACCCTCCTCCTGCCTCGCCCACCCAGTCCCTAACCCCTGGTTCTTCTCCTTTTAATACGTGGCCTGGCTGAAGGGAGGAACAGGAGTGCACACGTGAGTTTGGCTGCTTCTTTAAGACACACACACACGTATATATAGACTGGGTCTGGCTTTGTCACCCAGGGTGGAATGCAGTGGCACGAACCTGGCTCACTGCAACCTCTGCCTTCTAGGCTCAAGTGATCCTCCGACCTCAGCCTCCCGAGTAGCTGGGACGACATGCACACGCCACCATGCCTGGCTAATTTTTGTTTGTTTGTTTTTGGTGGAAACAGGGTTTTGCCGTGTTGCCCAGGCTGGTCTCAAACTTCTGGGCTCAGGAAATCCTCCACCTCAGCCTCCCAAAGTGTTGGGATCACAGGCATGAGCCACCACGCCCGGCCTGGCTTCATGTTTAAAGGACAGTTGCCTCGTTTCCATGTTGATTCGTCCTCATTCACTGGGTAACCTTGGCCACATCACCCAAATGCTGTGAGCCTGTGCCCTCCTCTGTAAAATAGGGGGCACCAGGCCTGAATTTGAGGACTCTTCTAGTCCTAAGAACCTGTACACCTACTCACCACAACGGCATGTACAGTGGAATACTCAAGGCGAATGGTTACTTAACCAAGAGGAAATTAGGGATTGTCAGAGTCAGCTGAGTCCTGGAATTAACCCAAATCCTCATATGGGTGGCAAATAGCCCTTTCAAAATCGTTCCACTTCCATCCCTCATTTGATCGCTAAGGGCAAGTCTTACTCTCCCCTAAAGATGGAGAGATGGGAGCTGAGGGAGAGAAACTGGTTATGACTCTTGAATACAAACAATAAAAAACTCAGCTCCAGGACAGACATGGTGGCTCATGCCTGTAATCCCAGCACTTTGGAAGACCAAGGTGGGTAGATCACTTGAGGTCAGGAGTTCAAGACCAGCCTGGACAACATGGTGAAATCCCCTCTCTATTAAAAATATAAAAATTAGCCAGGCGTGGTGTCAGTGCCTGTAATCCCAGCTATTTGGGAGGATGAGGCAGGAGAATCGCTTGAACCTGGGAGGTGGAGGTTGCAGTGAGCAGAGATTGCACCACTGCACTCCAGCCTGGGTGACAGAGCAAGACTCCGTCTGAAAATAAACAAATTCAGCTCCAATTCAAAGTGGTTTAAGCAACAAGAGAATTGATTGGCTCTTGGGACCAGCATCCATAGATTTCTGGCTTCAGGTATGCCTGGATGTAGTGGTCCAAACAAGAAATCGCTTCATTTCCCTCCTCTGGGACAGCTTCCTGTCCAGTTCAGCTGCTCCCCCTGGCGGTAAGAGGATATTCCACAGCTGCAGCTTGGCCACCTCCGACCACCCAGTGCCACTTTCCCAAAAGTTCTAGTGAGGTCCCAGGTCTCCCTGTCATTGGCCTGACTTGGGTTATGCATTCATCCCTGAACCTATTGCAGTGGTTTGCTTTGGCCGTGGGTGAAATTTGCCCCACCCCAGAGGAGAAGTTAGCCCCACCCCAGGCATATAGATTAGCATTGGGAGGAAGGATGTACATCTCTCTCCTGGGGCTACTGCCAAACAAGCTTCCACAAACTTGGGAGCCTAGCACTATTGAAATTTGTTCTGTCGCAGTTCTGAGGCCTGAAGTCTAAAATGAAGGTGTCAGCAGCGTTCACTCATTGTGGAGGGTTTTTTTTTTTTTTTTTTTTTTTTGAGACGGCGTCTTGCTCTGTCGCCCAGGCTGGAGTGCAGTGGCACGATCTTGGCTCATGGCTCACTGCAACCTCTGCCTCTCGGGTTCAAGTGTTTCTCCTGCCTCAGCCTCCTGAGTGGCTGGGACTACAGGTGCCTGACAACACGTCCAGTTAATTTTTGTATTTTTAGTAGAGAGTAGGGTTTAGTAGGGTTTCACCATGTTGGTCAGGTTGGTCTCAAACTCCTGACTTCAGGTGATCCACCCGCCTTGGCTTCCCAAAGTGCTGAGATTACAGGCATGAGCCACTGTGCCCAGTCCCTTGTGGAGGTTCTGAGGGAGAAAACATCCCATGCTTTTCTCCTGGTTTACAGTGGTCGCCGGCAGTCTCTGGCATTCCTTGGCTTGTATATGTGCCCTCCCATCTATGTCACCATCTTCATGTCTCCTGCTGTGTCTCTGAGTATCCTCTAGTAGTCTTATATAAATGGTAGTCACTGAATTTAGGACCCATCCCAAATTAATTTGGGAGGACACTCTTCAACCCATTACACCAAGAAACAAGCAGGGTACAGGTGCAGTGGCTCATACCTGTAATCTCAGCACTTTGGGAGACCAAGGCAGGCAGATCACTTGATCTCAGGAGTTCGAGACCAGCCTGGGCAGCATAGCAAGATCCCATCTCTACAAAAAATACCCCAAATTAGCCGGCATGGTGGCATACACCTGTGGTCCCAGCTGCTCGGAGGCTGAGGCGGGAGGATCGCCTGAGTGCAGGAGGTTAAGGCTGCAGTGAGCCATCATCATGCTACTGTACTTCAACATGGGTGACAGAGTGAGACCCTGTCTCAAAAAAATATAACAATCAGGGTGGCCAAGCCATAAGATGTCCACCACGGGGTAGCGGGAGAGACCTGCGCAAGGCCCCACAGGGTGGTCCTGAGGGTCTCCAGCCTTCATGCTCTTACCTCCTCTCCCTCCCCAGCCATTGGGCTGTTTGCGTCCATGGCTGCGGTGCTCCTAGGTGGGGTCCGGGCATCCAGGTTGCTCTTCCAGAGGCTCCTGTGGGATGTGGTGCGATCGCCCATCAGCTTCTTTGAGCGGACACCCATCGGCAACCTGCTGAACCGCTTCTCCAAGGAGACAGACACGGTTGATGTGGACATTCCAGACAAACTCCGGTCCCTGCTGATGTATGCCTTCGGACTCCTGGAGGTCAGCCTGGTGGTGGCAGTGACTACTCCACTGGCCACTGTGGCCATCCTGCCACTGTTTCTCCTCTACGCTGGGTTTCAGGTATGGAGAGGTCAGGGAGCCTTCTGGGACCAGCTGAGATCAACTCAGCCAGTCCCCTGTCTCTGGGGAAGACTCCATATATGAGGTTTCACCCAGCTGGACATCTAGGGGATGTTCCTAGAATTCCCAGGGACAGAGACACTACAGTCTTTCTGATATCTCCACTAGTCTCTGTCTCTAAATGTTCACATCAAAGTTCTCTTTTTTTAGAGAGACAGAATCTTGTTCTCCTGCCAAGGCTGAAGTGCAATAGGTTATCATAGCTCACTGCAGCCTTGAACTCCTGGGCTTAAGTGATCCTCCTACCTCAGCCTCTCCAGTATTTGGGACTACAGGCAGTGCCACGATGCATGGCTAATTTTTAAATTTATTTTTTTTGAGACATGTGTCTCGCTGTGTTGCACAGGCTGGTCTCAAGTTCCCAGCCTCAAGTGATCCTCCCACTTTGACCTCCCAAAGTTCTGGGATTATAGGGCATGAGTCACTGTGCCTCATGGTGCAGTTAAATATTAAGGGGCCAGAGTTCTTCATGTATAATATTTTTATCCTGCTGTAATTTCTTCCTCTCCAATTATCTGGAAGCCAAAGAGGCATTGCAGGTTCTCAAAGGCTATTATATAAAGCTAGATTCTTTCAATTGCTGGGATCAGAGACCAGCTAAAATTAGCTTAACCAGAAGAACAGAATTTAATGGCTTACATTTCCTAGGGGGCATGGGCCCAGCTGTCATCAGGACACAGTGACTCTCTCCATATCGTCACTCAGTGCTTCTCAAAGTGTGGCCCCAGGACCAGCAGTAGTATCACCTGGGGACTAGTTAGCCATGTACGTTCTTAGGCCTCAGCCCAAGACTACTGACTCAGATGCTATGTGGTTCGGCCCATGAATCTAGGTTTTAACCCTCCAAGTAATTCTGATGCACACAAATGTTTAGGAACCACTGGCTTACCTCTGTTTGGTCTAATTTTGTATATGCTCTCTTTCCAGGGCAGGTCCGATGGCCACTAGCCATCATATCATCTCACCTTAGCAACTCAACATGCAAAAAACATTTCTCCAGCCCAGTAGTCATATATTAATCCCAGGCAAGGTTCTGATTGGCCTTTGTAGATCATGTGTCCATCTCTGAACTCATCACAGTAACTGAATAGATAGTAGACTCTGATAAGCTAGGATGCATCATGTGACCATCTCTCTGATTAGGTCCTGTGATTGACAGCACCTCAACCCAGCCCTTTCCTACAGGAAACCAGAAGTAGAGCAGAAGAAAACATGGTAGTCAGATAAAAACCATGGCTAGGGCTAGGCATGGTGGCTCACACCTCTAATCACAGCACTTTGGGAGGCCGAGGTGGGCGGATCACTTGAGGTCAGGAGTTCGAGACCAGCATGGTCAACATGGCAAAACCCCATCTCTACTAAAAATACAAAAAATTAGCCAGCGTGGTGGTGCATGCTTGTAATCCCACCTTCTTGGGGGAGGCTGAGGTGGGAGGATTGCTTGAGCCCAGGAGGCAGAGATTGCAGCGAGCTGAGATTGTGCCACTGTACTCCAGCCTGGGCGACAGAGTGAGACTCCATCTCAAAAAACAAAAACCAAAACCCATGGCTACCACATCCCCGACAACTGTCCCAGGTCTTCTCTAAGTTCACTTGACTCCGAGGATGGGCTGTTTCTGTCTCAAGCTTTGTAGTCAAGAGAAATCCAGGCTCTGTCACTTACTGTGGCTCTCAGGACAGCTGCTGAATCCCCCGAGCCTCGGATGTTCTCACCACTAACTGGTGAATGACGCGAATGCTCACTCTGCAATGAATGAGACACTGTAAAAAGCCGGGCACACACAGTTGGGTGTTCAGCAAATTCAGTTCCTCCCTGCCTGCCTGTCTGCCGGCTGCACCCAACCTGCAGCAAACCAAGTAACACATATTTCCTGTGCATCACCCGGCACGTAACCCTTGGGTTACATGAGTGAAACTGACTTGGCCAACTGCCTTCATTACCCCTTACAGTTTTGTTCTCCCAATGACCAGCCCTAAATGAAGTAGTCGACCTTAGTGCTGGGAAGTGAGACACTTAAACTAAATTGGTGGTTTCTCAACCCTGGCTGTCCATTAGAATCATCTGGAAGGCTATTTAAACAGCACCAAAGCCAAAGTGACATTGCCAGAGATTCTGATTCAGTCATTCTGGGGTGGGGCATTAGAGGTTTTTGAAGCTCTCCAGGTGACTTTCAGAAAAACCATAGAACTCTGATTCTGCAAGGAAATAAGAACCCAGAGAGGTGAAGCAACTAGCCCAAGGTCACACAGCAAGCTGGTAACAGATCCTGGTCTGGAATCCTGTACTTGGGGCTCTCCGTGCTTCTGGAAACTACCTCTCTATGTCTGTGGCTTCTCCTCTCCCCTCTCCCATCCATCCTTCTCAGAGCCTGTATGTGGTTAGCTCATGCCAGCTGAGACGCTTGGAGTCAGCCAGCTACTCATCTGTCTGCTCCCACATGGCTGAGACGTTCCAGGGCAGCACAGTGGTCCGGGCGTTCCGAACCCAGGCCCCCTTTGTGGCTCAGAACAATGCTCGCGTAGATGAAAGCCAGAGGATCAGTTTCCCGCGACTGGTGGCTGACAGGTAGGAAGAGCCAGGGCAGAGAAGACCTTGTAATTCGTCCATATCCTTAGAGGGTGAGACCTGAGGTCATATTGTATGGCTAGAGAGGTCACCAGAGAGTCAGGGACATAGCTGAGGCTAGATCCCACAGGCTGTCTATCGGTTCTCACTGTGGGCAGATGGAACATGACCGAGAGATTCTCAACAGCAGGTGGGCAGGGGGTACAGGAAGAAGCTTCTGTTGCCAGGCAACTGGATCAGCCTCTTTTGCCTTGGTGATAAAGCAGCCATATAAGCATCCTCAGCCATCTTTAGGTACTAAGCAAGAACAAGAACATAAGCTTTAAGCACAAATAGACACAGGTTCAAATCCCAGCTCTGCCACTTACCAGCTGGTTGATTTCAGGCAAGTTACATAACCTCTCTGAGCTTCATTTGTCAAACTGGGATCATGCTCATATAGTGGATATGAAGATTAAATACACTCATAGGTAAGACTTGTAACATGCTTATCGCATGCCTGGCACTGTTCTGAGCAATCTATGTAGATTAATTTATTTAATTCTGCTAACAGCTTTGACAGGCAGAAACTGTTTTATAGATGATAAATCTTAGGCACAGAGAGGTTTGGAAACTTGCTCAAGTTCACCCAGCTGATGCTGGCAGAGCCAGGATTTGAATCCAAGCATTGTAGTACCAGAGTGTGGAGAGGGTTAAGTACAAACTAGGTGCTCAATACATGTGAAGTCCTTTTTCCTTTCATCTCGGGTCCCCAGCCAGCTGGGGCTGTGTATTAGTCCATCTTCACACTGCTATAAAGAACTACCTGAGACTGGGTAATTTATAAAGAAAGGAAGGTTTAATTGACTCACAGTTTCACGTGGTTGGGGAGGCCTCAGGAAACTTACAATCATGGTGGAAAGGGAAGTAAGGCACATCTTACATGGCAGCAGGAGAGACAGCGTGTGAGGCGGTAACTGCCGCCCCCTTTTACGCCATATGATCTCGTGAGAACTCACTATCATGAGAACAACATGGGGAAAACTGAACCCACGATCCAGTCACCTCCCACCAGATCCCTCCCTCCACACGTGGGGATTACAATTGGAGATGAGATGTGGGTGGGGACACAGAGCCAAACCATGGAGGCCACGGGGTCAGGGCAGGGGAATGGCAGGTGGACATGGCTTGGCAAATCCCAGGGACAGAAAATCAGCCACACAGGGAAGCTCTACGGAACACCGATTGTACTCCAGACCCTAAGCTGGGCTCAGTTGAGACAGGACAGTGTCATCGTCCTCTACTCCCTGAGCCTGCATGGGGCCTTGCATGTGGAGCCCATTGCTGAGACCTCTGTGGGTACAAAGCGGGTGTGATGACCAGTCCTTGTGCCCAGAGAAGCATCTCCCTGCAGATGAGAGTACCCACTCACCCTGCTGTCGCCTCCCTTTGCAGGTGGCTTGCGGCCAATGTGGAGCTCCTGGGGAATGGCCTGGTGTTTGCGGCTGCCACGTGTGCTGTGTTGAGCAAAGCCCACCTCAGCGCCGGCCTCGTGGGCTTCTCTGTCTCTGCTGCCCTCCAGGTACTCCCTATACCCCCAAACTGGGCTTGAGGGACAGACAGAGGCAGAGACCGTCAGACCCCTGCTAGTAGGACCTTCGAAGACCCTGTGTCCAAACCACCAAGGTGTCTGGAGTCCCTCCACCGAGGGACTCAGCTGAAGTGAACTTGCAACCTTGGGCAAAATCTTTCCTCATGGAGTCTCAGCGTGCTCCTTGAAAAAATAGGCCAGTAATCCCATCACTTCTGATGCTATAAAGACTAGTTGAGACAAAGCATATCCTGTGGAGGACATTTCTAGTGCATTGTTAACTTTTGTTTTGTTTTGTTTTGAAGACAGAGCCTCTTTTACTCAGGCTGGAGTGCAGTGGTGCAATCTCGGCTCACTGCAACCTCTGCCTCCTGGGTTCAAGCGATTCTTATGCCTCAACCTCCCAAGTTGCTGGAATTACAGGCATGAGCCACTATGCCTGGCTAATTTTTAATATTTTTAGTAGAGACGGGGTTTTGCCATGTTGGCCAGGCTGGTCTCCAACTCCTGAGCTCAACTGATCCACCCACCTTAGCCTCCCAAAGTGCTGAGATTACAGGCATGAGCCACCACACCTGGCCACTTTTTGTTAACTATTAATAACAATATGTAATGTCAGTTCATGACATCTATGAAAAAAAATATATATACATTCATAAGCGTTTGTTATGGAGGAGGCATTATTCTAAGAGCTCTATACATTTTTGTTCATTTTGGTTTGTTGTTGTTGCTGTTTGAGACAGGATCTCATTTTGTTGCCCAGGCTTGAGTGCAGTGGCATGATCTTGGCTCACTTCAGCCTCCATCTCCAGGCTCAAGGGATTCTCCCACCTCACTTTCCCAATTAGCTGGACCTTCAGGCATGCACCACCATGCCTGGCTTTTTTTTTTTTTTTTCTTTTTGGTAGAAACAGTTTCGCCATGTTGCCTAACCTGGTCTCAAACTCTAGGTTCAAGTGGTCTGCCTGCCTCAGCCTCCCAAAATGCTGAGATTACAGGTGTGAGCCACCATGCCCAGCTGTTTTGTTTTGAGACAAGGTCTCACTCTTTGACCCAGACTGGAGTGCAGTGGTGTGATCACAGCCCACTGCAGCCTCCAACTCCTGGGTTCAAACAATCTTCCCACCTTCGCCTTCAAAAAAGCTGGGGTTAGAGGCATGAGCCACTGTGCATGAGAACTTTATAAATATTAACTCACTTAATACTGCCCACAACCCCATCAGAGAGGCGCTGTTATTATCCTCATTTTACAGTCAAGGCTGCTAAGCTTCAGGATGAAGTAAGAGTAACCAGAGCATGTTGGGTGGCGGTGGAGGCATTTTCCTCCTGCATCCAGAAAGGCCTCTCTGAGGAGGTGACTTAGGAGGGAGAGAGGCCTGGGAGTTGAAGGTTCATCCCTGGTGTGTGAGAGGAACAGCAGGAAGGCGGGTGTGGCCAGAGAGGGTGGGTGAAGGCAGGGGTGCTGGGAGACAAGGTTGGGGATGGGATGACAGGACTAGAGCCGGTAATGGTTCACAGGGAGGAGCTTGGAGTGGTTCCAAGTGTCATGGGAAATTGGTGGCCACCGGTTGCTGTGGGGAAACTGTCAGAAAGGAATCAGCAGGCCTGAGTCCTGCTGGGTGTCCTTGGGAGGGCCACACACCCTCTCTGATCCTGTCTCACCTGCATCAAGCCAGTTTGTACAGGCTGATGTCTGAGGGCTGCTTTTCACTTTGCATGCTCTGGCTCTACTGAAGGAAGGGAGGGACCTGTTGGTTGCATCCAAATCCCAATCCCCTGGGCCTAGGTCCTCAGACTGCTGCATTCCTGCCTCCCTTCTTTACGCCCCTGGGTCTGGCCTCCCAGCAAAGGTTGGGAAACCAGCGGGGCTGTTGCAAGCCCTCAAGTGGCCTTGCCGAACCCAGCCAGAGATGCTTTCTTGCACCAGGTGACCCAGACACTGCAGTGGGTTGTTCGCAACTGGACAGACCTAGAGAACAGCATCGTGTCAGTGGAGCGGATGCAGGACTATGCCTGGACGCCCAAGGAGGTGATGGGTGGGAGGTGGGGAGGGGGTCCCAGCACAGACATATTGGTGGCGGTAGGGGGCGGCAACGGGTCCCTGTTGACATCTGCTCCAGGCTTTGGAGTTTGTACCCTCTTCTCCCCTGACTCAACCCCTACCTCTATAGGTCAGAGTCACAGACAGGGTGGCAGCAGTGGTTAGGAGCATAAGGTCTGGAGCCAGGCCAAATCTTGGTTCCTTTGCTTCTGAGCTTGAGGAAAGCAGGTCACCTATGGGAGTGGCAGGGGACCATGAGGAACAGCATTGCAACAGCGGCATAGCTGCAACACGATAGTAACACAACGGCAATATTCCAGAACATGACAGTAACACAACAGCAATGTAATAGTAACGTAACAGCAACATAACCACAATATTACAGTACCAGAACAGCAACAGAGCAGTGTAATCGTAATATAACAGACATGATAGTAACATGATGGTAACATTCCGGCAATACAACCACAACATAGCAATGCAATAGTAACATAATAGCAACATTTTAGTAACATGATAGAAACAGAACAGCAACATGGCAATGTAATAGAAACACAACAGCAACATCATAACAGGACAGCAACACCCCAGCAACATGGCTTTAATATAGTAACGGAATAGCAACACGGCAATGTAACAGTAACAAAACAGCGACATTATAGTAGCATTATAAGGACAAAACAGCAACATAGCAAGGCAACAGTAACAAAACAGCAACATGATATAGTGTGATAGCAACATAACAGTAACATTACAGTAATAGAACAGGGAAGAACTGATTGATGAATAGGGTAGAAGAAATGATGAGAGATGGATGGATGGATGGATGGATGGATGGATGGATGGATGGATGGATGGA